TATTTTTAAAGAACATTATGTGCTCCACTGGTACTGTAGTTTTAACTTTTTCTTTTTTAATAAGTCTGAGGGATTTTGTGTCGGGTCGAGCAAAGCCATATATCCCCATCCCCGACCCCAAAATAATTTGGAGACGAAAAATCATTTCTGTACCCAACCCAGGACCCATCCCCAAACAGAGATACTTAATGCTCAACTTGAATGAGTGGGGGCCCATTTCCGTGGGGATTTTGGCCATCCGTAATGGTGAGTTTGTCTTATATAAATTAAAAAACTAAAATAATTTTTATTTTGTGGGAATAGAGTTGCCACTTGCCACTTGAAAGGAACAAGTTTGGCAAATAACTTAGAATAAAAAATAATTACTTTATGTAGATAAGAGGTTTTTTATGCATGTTAAAAGAACTTAACAATAGAAGAAAGAAATTTGTACACATCTTTGAAAGAAATTAGTATACAAATTGTCTAATTTATACACATCTATATCCCAATGCGTACCATACATTATAATGTGAAAATATTTTGTGTGCAGAAATTAGAAAACAGATATCTAAAGAGTTTTATTTTAAGCATAACAGTATCACGATCATAATTCCAATTATGATAGCACTAATACTACTTTGGATATTGATGATAGAAAAAGGGCTCGAGTTTATAGACATGGTTAGCCATATCCATCAACAACAATTAATTACTCTATTCCTTCATGTAAGATTTTCAATGAGGATTGATTATATTTGGTTTATTACGGAAAGTCACTGGTGAGAGAAACATAGAGAAGAGGTAAAATAGCTGCTTCGATAATATCAGTTAGAAAAATAGTTTAACCTTTTAAGTAATTTTATTTCAAGTTTTATGGAAAATTTTCTCTTGCAAGACCACGTTATATAGTTAGTAGGAGATCATACAATTATTTATACAGCTGTCACGAATGCAGTGTCTTCAATAAACTTTATTATTTTATTTTTATTTTTGTATAAACTATGACAACCATATGCAGTAATGCATAATCTTACTTAAAAGATTATATTTTATTATTTTATATTGAATCTAGGGCATAAACCACACCAGTAAAAAGGAAAAGAAATATTATTTTTTATTTCAAAAATTCAAATTAATCTTCAAATTAAAACATTGTTTTTTTTTTTTTTAAACCTATATTATCTATGATTTACTATCATCAAAATTATTTATCATGTGCTCCCGTAGGGCCGGCTTAAGGGGTAGGCAGGTGAGGCACCTGCCTAGGGCCCCCAAAAAATGGGGGCCCAAATTTTTTATAAATTTTTTGAATATCTTACAAAAATGAAAATGGTTTATAATTTCAAAAAAAAAAAAAAAACCAAAAAAGCCCAAATTTATTATAAACTTTTTACATATATTTCCACCCAAAGTTTAATAAAATAGTAAGTTTGTACCTCTAGTTTCATATAGTCTAGTTTATACCCTTAAATTAACACATTGAATCTCTTTTAACAATGGAAGACTAAAATAGTCATTTACATATCTCAAATTACTCACCCCCAACTCAATCCTAAAATTTGACATTCATATAAATTATCTCCAGCCCTCTTCTATCGCCAGTGGTTTGAAGTTGATTTCGGTCAATTTTGGTTTCGGTCGATTTTCTCACCAAAATCGACTAAAATCATCATTTTATCGGCTCCTTTTGGTTCATAATTTTGTGTTTTGGGAAAATTTTTTTTTGAAAAAAGTTTAAAAAAAGTTGAATTGGGCGGGTATTACAATATAGGATTTATAAATTAATAAAATACCCCCTATGTTTATTTTTTTACAAAATACCCCCTATAATAAAACATGAAAAGTTAATAATAACACCCCCAACCCACCCTCAAATACGGACAGTCGGCCACCACCGCCGGAGGGTGGCCGGAGTCGCCGTATCGGCGCATGACCGGCAAGATCTTGCCGGTCGTGCGCCGATATGGCCTTTTCCGGCCAGATCCACGATGGATCTGGCCGTATTTGCTATTCAACGACGGCCAACAAACGGTCGTCGTTGATGGTCAACGACGACCGTTTGTTGGCCGTTGTTACCGACTGGTTACGGCCAAAGATCTGGTCGTCAACGGCCAGATCTTTGGCCTTAGATCTTGCCTTTTTCGGCTAGATCCACCGTGGATCTGGCCGGAAAAGGCTAGATCGACACACTACCGGCCAGATTCAGCCGGTAGTGCACCATCTTACCAGATTCCGACCATTTTCCGACAGTGGTGGCCGAAATCTGGTAAATGTGGATTGTTGGGGTGTTTTTGCAATTTTTTAAAAAAAAAATTGGGAGTTGTTTAGTTAAATTAATAAATTTAGGGGGATTAAGGAAATTGAATAATTTAGAAAACTATTTTGAAAATAGGTGAAATAAAGTTAACTTTTTTGGGAATACTAAAAATAGTATTCCCAAAATGCAACCAAACGAAGCCATCATTTCCCAACCTTGATAGCCCTCGATTTGACTAATTTTTGATGAATCTTGCAACCCAACTCCACCACACGGTAGCCATTTCCAGCCTTTTTGGCATGTACCTCACATTGTTGGCCTTCCCCGACACCACCATCTTCCTCCCCTCAGCCCTCTCACCAAAACCCCTATCATACCTTATTCGTTTACTCTGCTAATCGTCGGCCATCGATACCTTTTGGGCCGTGACTTCTCAAGCCTTTTCTTATCAATCTTGGCATTGGAAATCACCCATTTCACCACCCATCACTTCTCCAACATCTACTCTCCAAAACCCCCCACCAACCTAACCTTGTTAGCCTACCGATTACTGTTCACCTCTCTTAATGATTTTTCATCTCAAAAGGCAAAAAATAAAAAATAAATAAATAAAATAATTTTTTTAATATATGCTTATATTATTAGAGGGCCCCAAAGTAACTCCCGTCTAGAGTCACAAATGTTCTAGAGACGGCCCTGTGCTCCCGGCACAAGAAAATTGTTCATTATTGTCACGATGGCCTTCCAAATAACTCACCATCTCATTTAAAATAAAAAATTAGGTCAGAGATTTAAAATTAAAGAAATACTAAACAATTTGAAGTAATAAAATTCTTTGAAGGTTATAAATAAGGAACACGCACGTATTCCTGAAAATATAATTTTGCTATAGCTAGAATAATTGGAAATAATAATGAAAATATAAGAGCATGTTTGAAAAATGTTATTGTAAAAAAGTTAGATTTGAATATAAAAATGTATTTGGTAACATATCTGAAAATTATATCAAAGTTGGATAAAATGCTGAATAGTTTTTTGGTACATTTTTTGAAAAAGGATTTTAAAAAATGGGTTTTTAAGACATAATAATTGTTTTTTATATTTTCTAAAAATATTTAGATTATTTTTTTAACCCTCTACATTTGTTAATTTAGCTAAACACCTCGACAATAAAAGTTTAAAAATTAAAGCACCACAACCACCCAAGAGGACAGCTAGCCACCGGCCACCACCACCGGATGGCAACTGATAATCATCAGAACGGCACACGACTGGTTGGATATGTATTGTTTTGATCATGTCGGCCGATGGTGGTGGTCTTGGGTGGATTAATTTTTAGATTAGAAGGAGAGAAAAATAAGAAGGAGAGAAAGAAAAATGTTTTCAGCTGAATAATCAGAAAGAAAAATGTTTTCAGATAGTCTCACCCTCTTTTTATGTTTAGACAAAAAATCTTATTTGAATTTGATTAATTTTCCAATTAGATTAGTCCAATAAGTAAATAAACACATATACTAATTTTTAATTCGATGAGATAATAATGATATAGAATAGTGAATTGCTTGCTAAAGTTACGGGTGGAAAAAAAAAAAAACCAAAACCAGACCGATTTCGGTTCAATTTTTTTTTTAAATCGAAAACCAGTTCTGTTCAAGATACCGGTTTTTTCCACCCCTAGTTAAAGTAAACTGCGAGCTTAGTTATATAAACTTTCATTTTATAATGGTAGTTTGTCATTACGTTATGAAAACAGTGAAAATATATTTTCACATAATTAACACAAAACTCCTTCCATAAACTCACCTTAATTATAATAAAACAGCACAATCACAGTTTGTCAAGCAATTCTAAATTAGAGTCAGAGATATATTAAGCATACAATGAATATGAGGGAACAGTGAAAATGCAAACCATTTAATAGCCTTCCATACAACTAAACATAAACTTGCATTTTATAAGCAATGTGCATTTATTACATGAAAAGCTGAGAATTATGAAATAGAGCTCGGTTGCAAGGTCTTTTTACAGTATACTTCGTCTTCACCAATTCTTCATCATGACTTTGAAAGTGGTATCAATTATAGTCATTTTATTCATTTGTACGAGCTGTGGTTTCCAATTCTCGTTTCAACTTTTAAATCTCAATTGTTGTGGCATTATATGATGTGATAAAAAATAAATTGTATGCCCATGGAAAGATTTTATATTTCTATAATTGGAAGATATTTTTTAATACGAAATGTAAACGATTTTTCTAATTCAATATGCATGTCTCTGTGTATATATAATAAGAGGCTCATCTCTTTTTATTTGGATTGACTTTCTAAATATTTTATGATTTTTATCTTAATCTCTTTTTTCTATCTCTCAATTTGTAAAGCACTAAAACTTAACTAATTATCACTTAATTCCCATTTTCTTTTTTCTTCTCTAATTGTTTTATTTGCAAATATTAAAACCCACATTTTTGTAAAACTTCTATTGTGGTTTAGTTTGATTTCGACGAATTTTTTTTGCTTTTAGTCATATAAACTTAAGATATAATTATTATATATTTAATATGTACTTTACCATGTCATATAACTAGTAAATTTTAATACTAAGAAATAATGAAGTTCATTTTGTTTTTGTCATTACAATTTGATCTTAATGTTAATAATATTTATATGCTTAAAATTAATATATTGTTTAGATCCCCTCTTTTAATCACAATATGCGTACCTAAATGTTTATGCATGGCTCATAGGTAGTAAATTCAGGCATGAAAAGGGGCGTGCCTTATTTTGGAGCTGAAGCATATATTGCATCATGGGGCTTAAATGTGGCTGGAGACCAACATTCATCCACAAATATGTGGGTTCAAAATGGTCCTCCTGATCAATTAAATGTCATACTTGCTGGATGGACGGTAAATTTCTAGTTTACTTTCATATTAGTTTCCTCTTCCTCTCTTCTCTAGGTGAGAATTAAGAAGGCTAAAAATGCGATACAGGATCCCGTTGCATTATATTATTGAAAACCTTTAACTTAATAATAAAATATGTAGAAAATATGTTGTACTCCATTGTTAGATATTAATCTATCAATATTAAAAACTGTTCAAATATTCCAAATGATGTGATGGCTATTCGATTGAACTATGAGATATTCATAACTGAAATACAGCCGCCAAGTCAATAGCCAGTTTTAGAAGAAACTTTGCATGTGTTTAACATATGACAATTCGAATATGTTTTGCGTTTAACACATATTTTAATCGGTTAGGTTTCGCCCATGTTAAATGGAGATGACCACACTCGACTTTTCACAATTTGGACAGTATGTATTTCAATTATTTTAGCTGATTCTTTGCTATAACATACATTATAGTCAATTTGTTGCTAGCGAAACAGTCTTTTAATTTATCTGATATGTTAGATTTTGATTCAAACAGGCAGATAATGCTTGGATCACCGGATGCTACAACCAACTTTGCTCAGGTTTTATAACAATAGATACTGTAATAACTCCAGGCTTGATTGTATCGCCAATTTCATTTTGGGGTGGTAGCCAATATGACACAAAGTACCTTATTTATCAGGTAACAGACATTAAGATTATTTTCAGTTTACCAATATTAAGAAATTAAATTACAATTGTTATTGTTATTTGACTCTGTAGGATCGACCAACTGGGAATTGGTGGTTTGTGGTAACTAATAACAATACGTTTGTGGGTTATTGGCCTAAGGAACTGTTCAATCATTTAAGTGATGGAGCTGAAACTGTGGAATTGCTATAGCTGGAAACAATGGGATAAGCCCTCCGATGGTAATTTTAGAGTTGGTTGTTACTTTCCAAATATTCAATTCATCAATCCACGTATTGATGCAACAGAGGAATTTGTTGACAAATCTGCCTTATTAAATCAGAGAAATTGTGGGCATGATGAGATGTATTATTGCTTCACCTTTGGAGGACCAGGTGGTAAGAGCCGGGACTAGAACTTGATTAGCCCTATACAATAAAAGACAATAATATTATCGTATCAATCTATATGGATTTTCTCGATTTCTAATTTATTATGAATATCCTCTTTTCTCTTTTATATAGTTCAAAATTTAGAAGGCTAATATAGGACTCGATTGTTCAACATTAAAATGAATTTAATAGGAATTTTTTTTGGTTGATAAACATATCATTTATCTGTTATAAAATGTCTTTATTTCTGGCAATTAAATTATTGATATTGTTAGTATAAAGAAGCTATAAATTTATCTGTGGTTAATGCCAATTAAGAATCAATTCTTTATCGGACAAGACACCTCTACTTTTGTTCTTGCTTGTCAATTATTGATTCTAAATTAATTATCTGGGATTTTTAATACAGTTGTTGGATAATGTCAATTTTAAACTAATAATTCTTCTCATAATGATTATGAAAAGTATCAATAAATACAGTATATTAATTTCTTTCTTTCATTTCTTTATAATAATATAACAGTAGTTGATTTTATTGAAACACTTTCTCAATATTGAATAAACAACCACAGTATAATAATTATTGAGATCAGATATCCCAGTATAAGGCGTCATAACAGTATAATAAGCTAGCCATATTTCAAGGAAATTAACTTATTTATGTAAGGAAATATAAAAGATGAACTTGTATAAATTCAGTACACAGCAAATTGTAACAACCTGTTTTACCATAATTATCTGCTTTTTTTTTTTCTTAAAAGAAAATTGAATTGTATTAGATTTGGTGATGTAACATCACCAACCAATAATAGAAGATATAAGAAGTAATACTATAGACAATTAAAAAGAAGAAAATGATTCTTACTGTCCAGTACTATGCAGTCGTGTGAGATTGTCGCCATAAAAGACGTGGCTGCACCTACAATATAATGCGAAATCAATTTTATTTTCCTTCTAATTCTTCAATTGAAAAATTAAAGTAAGCATCAATTATACACAAAATAGGTTTGTATTTCAATTATATGCAGCTTGCACATTTAATAAAAAATTCTCTTATTACAATCTCATTTTTGACAAGGAGTCTTAAAAATTTGATGTAAAAATTATGTCGTAATTAAGTAGTGTGTAGAAAAGCTGCAAACTAAGAACAATAAATCAAATTCACAATAAGTTGTGGAGACATCAATCTTAATTGTAATTTTATCCAACCGTGAGTGATGAATGATGATGAACAGTAAGTGGATGAATATTTTTATTTAGTCTCTTATTTTATATAAATTTAGCATAATTTTTTTTTTAAATAAAATTTAATATCCAAGAATAGAGGGGTTTTTTTTTGTTATTTTTGATACTTTATAGGAAATTATGTTTTAGGGAAAGGCAGAAAGCTGAAGGGAAAAATTATGATTATTGAAGGATAAATATGCGTTTTGCATTGCTTGTCATGTGATACCCATATCAAAAGATCACATCTATTAATTACAGTATCTATTTAATTTAATTGATTTAGTGTAAAATGTATTAATCAATTAACGAAAATCCAAACAAAATAGTGACAAAAAGGGTTATATTATAATTTCAAATACCTAAGGGGGAAAAGTCTATTTGAGGGGTAAATGTGATGAAGAATTGAAACAGAAATACAGCTCATGATATTCTAGAATCATCCTTATTGTGCTGAGATATTTTAGCCGAGCTGGAGCATTTGTCTGAGGTGGCTTGCTGTGATAAATCTAACACCCCACCACAAGATGGAGAGTGTATGTCAATAACTCCCATCTTGCGCAATAAGGAATAGAACATTGGAGAGGAGAGGGCTTTTGTAAGGATATCGACTAATTGACAAGAAGAAGGTGTGTCTGCAGTTGAGATAACACCATCTTGAACTTTATCCCGAATTAGATGACAATCTAATTTGATATGCTTGGTCCTTTCATGGAAGACTGGGTTGAAGGCAATGTGTAGAGCAGACTTGCTGTCACAGTGAAGGGTGGCAGGCTGAGGGTGAGAAGCCATGAGATCAACAAGTAAATACTTTAACCAGACAAGCTCACAAGAAGCAGCAGCCATAGACCAGTACTCTGCCTCAGCTGAATTGCGAGAGATGGTGGTTTGCTTCTTGCATTTCCACGAAATGAGTGATTGCCCGAGAAATACACAGTAGCCAGTTGTAGATCTTCTTGTATCCGGGCATGATGCCCAATCGGAATCACAATAAGATGTTAATTGACAAGCAGATGAGGCAAGAAATATTAATCCTTGACCAGGTGATTTCTTTACATAATGCAACACCTTGTAAGTTGCTTGAAGATGTGGAACCCGAGAGGCACTCATGTATTGACTCAGCAGGTTGACAGAGAATGAAAGGTCAGGTCGGGTGATTGTTAAGTAGAGGAGTCTTCCAACGAGCCTTTTGAATTCTGATGGATCATGTAGCAATTTTCCTTCATCCTTGTTAAGTTTTAGACTCGGGTCCATGGGAATTGAACTAGGCTTGCAGCCAGTTAAACCAGCATCGTCAAGAATGTCCAAACAATATTTCCTTAGGCATAATTGAATGCCATTTGAGTTTCGGGCTACCTCCAAACCAAGAAAATACTTGAGTGTGCCAAGATCTTTGATCTTAAATTTGGATGCTAGAAAAGCTTTGAGAGTTGAAATGTCATGGTGATCATTGGAAGCTACAATGATATCGTCAACATATACAAGTAGTGCTAAAAAAGATGAACCACTTCCTTTAGTAAAGAGATTGTAATCAGCTTTTGATTGAGTAAATCCAAATTGTAACAAGGAGGATGAGAATTTGGCATACCATTGACGTGATGCCTGTTTGAGACCATACAAGCTTTTGTTTAATTTGCAAACCTTGTTCTGTCCTTGAACTGAATTACCAGGAGGGATTTTCATATACACTTCTTTGTCCAAATTGCCATGTGAAAATGCATTATGAACATCGAATTGATGGAGTTTCCACCCTTTGATGGTAGCCACGGCAAGCAAGGTTTTTACCGTTACAAGTTTGGCTACGGGTGAGAATGTCTCATGGTAATCAAGGCCTTCTTCTTGGGTATATCCCTTAGCAACTAAACGTGCCTTGTGCTGCTTAATGGTTCCATCTGAATTGTATTTAATTTTGTAAACCCATTTTAAACCAATGGTCTTTTTCCCAATAGGCAGATCAGTAACATCCCAAGTCTTGTTTCTAGAGCAGTAATCTCATTATCCATTGCATTACGTCAGTCTAAGCTTTTTACAGCTTGTGCATAAGTTGAGGGTTCAGTGTGATGAAGAATTGAAATGGCAAATACAGCATGGTTAGGAGACAAATTAACATGAGACAAGACAGAACGTAAAGGATAAAAAGGATTAGCAAGTGAATTACCTTTGATCTTGGAGCTTGAAAAGGAAGTAGTGGGTGCAATAACTTGTTGACATAAGTAGTCCTGGAGATAAGCAGGGGATTTTTTTGGTCTGTTTGATCTGCGGGGAAGAGGTTGTGTTTGAAAATGAATATCAGGTAGAGTAGGGGAAATGGGAGGATCTGTGGTAATATTCGAAGGGATGGGAGAAGTGGATTGTGTTGCTGTGTGTTCTGTGATAATATCTTGTTGTGATGGTGAATGTGGTATGAGAATATCAGATTGTAATTCGGAGGGCTAAGTGATGATGTTGGTACCTAGGGATGGAAATTGAGGTGTGGGAGAGGATTGGACAATTTTAAAGGGAAATATGTGTTTATAGAAAGTGACATCTCTAGAGTAAAAAATGGATTGGCTGTTTAGATCAAATAATTTGTGGCCTTTGATTCCGAATGGATATCCAAGCATAATGCATTTCCTTGCTCTAGAGTCAAACTTGTGTCTGTTTTGTTTTAAGGTAGATGCATAGCAAAGACACCCAAAGGTTCTCAAGTTGTGATAAGTTGGTTTGGTTTGAGAAAGAAGTTAGGTATGGGCTAGGATTTTGTAAATTTGGGGATGGTGTTCTGTTAATAAGATAGGTAACTGTTAAAATGCAATCATTCCAAAAAGATTAGGGAACACCGGATTGAAATTTTAAAGCACGAGCAACATTTAAAATATGTTGGTGCTTGCATTCCACAACCCCATTTTGTTGGGGGGTTTCCACACAAGTTTTTTTATGGATAATTCCTTTTTGCATGAAGAAATCAGTCATGGAAAATTCATTTCCATTATCAGATCGAAGAGCTTTAAGTTTTGTTTGGAATTGTGTTTCAATTAGTGAGCAAAAAGATTGCAGTAAGGGTTGGGTTTGGGATTTATTTTTCATTAAATAGACCCAAGTGGATCTGGTGAAGTCATCAACGATTGTTAAGAAATATTTTAATCCATCATATGCCATTTGGGAACATGGTCCCCAAATGTCACAATGGATGAGTTCAAAAGGTTTAGAGACGCGGTTGTCACTGATAGGAAAAGGTAACCTGTGATGTTTTGAAAAATGACATGTAGAGCATGAAACAACAGAATCCAGAGAAGTTAAGTGAGGTAAATCCTTTTGTAACAAAGATAAGCGTGAGTCAGACAAGTGACCCATTCTACAATGCCATAAACTATGGAAAATTTGCTGAGAAGTAACAGAGGCAAAAATAGATAATTTATTGGAGGGTAAAGCGGATAAAAAAGAAGATAGGGTTGTGGGAGACACTCCTGTCAGTTGAAGATGGTAAAGACCATTGAGAGCCTCACCCTTCCCAATCGTGCTCTAAGAGAAAAGGTCTTGCATATTGTTAGTGTATGCCCTAGGAACCAATCGTGTCGTCGGTTCCAAGGCATTATGTTTTGTATATATATGTGAATGTATATAGTTTGTATATACATTTTATCTTATCAATAGAAGAAAGTGTTCTTATTTCACATGTGGTTTATTGCTTCATTTATATATATGTATTACATGTGAAATATCCGGATGATACAAATCTTTAGAAGATCAAAATCATCAAAGTATTCCCTACATAGGTAATATTAATTGGGCAATAATATTACATAGTAGGCATGCTGAATGCCTCCGTAGAATATCATGTGATGGTATTGGTGTGGGTGATTATAAAAGTTATATCACTAGGGCATTAGCATGGATACGCGGTTAGTGAACTGTTTATTGAATATGGCCATTTATGATGAATCACATGGACATTTAAAATGTAGTCAATGATTTATCATAAGATCATACTAGGGTATTTTTAATCCTTAGACCTGAGATATCACGGTTGGATTCTGCATAAACGCATATGGTTCATATGGTGTATAAACATGAGGCTAATCATGCCATGTGTTAATAAGCCGATTTGGCCATGTGTTGTTTATGTGTGAGGACAAGTGATAGTCAAGATGGGATCCGTTGACTTGGTATAGATTGATATCAAGTTCCTAGACAAATGTCAAGATACATTGGAAAAGGGAAATCTCCGGCCGGGGTATATAAAATGTTACATGAAAGGTTGTTTCATGGTGACACGTTCCATATGTATTGAATTAAAATTAAGATAAGGATTTTGACATACCATGAATCCATTCTTAATTGGGATTAGACAACGGAAGGATTTGATTATACAACATGTATGATTGTAAAAGGTTCGTTGGAGTATATCTTCATTGTGACTTAGGGGTTATGGAACATTGCTAGATGCCTACCATAATCAGTGGGAGTTTTGTTCATAAAGAGTTATGACAAAACATATCGAAATAGTCTGTGATATTGGGCCCACGGCTAGGCCACAGTGAACCTAAGAGGTCACACATAAAAACTAAGGAGAATGAAGAAATAGCCAAAGAGAGTTGATTATCCAAGGTTGGCTAGCACCTACCAAAGGTAATAAAGTTATTTATATTAATCATTTTCTTTATATTAAATTGGATTTTACAAGGGGTTGTAATTGTAAACAATTTAAGGGTTAAATTGTTATGTAAACAATTTAAGAGTTAAATTGTTAATTGTGATTAAATGTTAATCCAATGTTATAATTTAAAGAAGTTTAACAACTTCATAACAATTATGGAATTGTTTAAGGAAGTCCAAAACAATTATTGAATTGTTTACAAGGATTCCTATATAAAGAAAATGATATATGAATTTTTGTGTAGAGAAAAATCTCTAAGAACCCTAAATCTCCCTCTTGGTCAAATCTCTTCTTCCCTTGGTGTGGATACTCTTTTGCTTAATTTCTCTTGAAATTAAGAGTCTCCAAGGTTGCTAAGGACTTAAGGTAACATGTTCTACCTTACTTATTTCAATTTGACTGAATTTTTTTTTTAAACTATGACTATACTTGTTATAGCATGATATGCTTGATTCTCCATGCATCCATCTTTCACATATAGCATTCATTAGCAAAGAAAACAAATCAACAATTTTTGTCCTGGATTAATTTTTTGGCTGAGAGGAGATTGAAATTAAAAGATGGGATGCATAAAACATCTTTGAGAGTAATGACAGAATTGATTTTAACAATACCCTTATGGGTAACATTGGCATGATTACCATTTGGAAATCTGACTTTAAAATCAACTATGGATGGTGAGGAAGTATAAATGGAGGTGCAACAGATCATGTGATCTGTTGCACCTGTGTCTATTATCCAAGGAATATGATGTGAAGATGTTGTATTAGAGACTAGAAAGCAGGAAGCTATACCAGAGAAGGTGGAAGGTGAAGGGCAAACGGAGGATGGATCAACGGACTGTTGCGTAGCTTGAGACTGGAGTAAAGCAATGATATGTTGATATTGCTCTTGAGTTAGAGTTACTTGAGATTTCTCACTGATCTGTTCTTGGTGGGAGAGACTAATTTGGTTAACATATGGGTTAACTCCTTTGGATCGATTGGCAAGCTTATAGCCAGGGGGATAGCCATGTAATTTGTAACATCTCTCTGCAGTGTGTCCAATGAGATGGCAGTGTGTACATGTGGGTTTCTCAAGATTTGGATTTGGATTAGCCTTAAAACATTTTTCTAGAGAATGGCCTGAGACTTTGCAGAAAGTGCAAAAAAATCTGTCTCGTCATTGGGAACTAAAAGATTTGGAGTTGACCAGGTTGACTGGGGTGGGTGGATGAGTTCTGGTAGCTAAGGCCAATGTGTCATGAAGATTGGGAAGGTTGGAGATATGCTTATGCTTCTCTTCTTGTTGAACAAGAGCATAAACTTTACTCAAAGATGGAATGGGTTTGAGGAGGATAATCTAAGCTTTGATGTTGCTGAAGGAATTATTGAGCCCCATGAGGAATTTCATCATCCAGTCACATTGTTGGTTCTCAAGCATAGGTTTCATGGCACCACATGTACATGATGGAATAAATTCAAAATTGAGAAGTTCATCAAATAAACTTTTTAACTTAGAGAAGCAAAGGCTGACGGAATCATCACCTTGGTTAATATTGTGAATGGATTGCTTTAATTCAAAGATTCTTGGCCCATTGTTTTGGGCAAAATGTTGTTCGAGTTCAAGCCATAGTTCATTGGCAGTCTCAACATAAACAACGCTGTTTTTTATCTCAAGAGACAGTGCATTTTGAAGCCAGGTTACAACCATGTCATTGCATTCAAGCCATGGTTCTAACGAGGCATCAGTGGAGGAGGGTTCAAGAAGAGTACCATCAATGAAACCCAGTTTCTTTTTTATTCGGAGTGAACGGCGCACGGTACGTGCCCAAGAGTTGTAGTTTTCAGGGGTGAGAGGATGGTTGGTGAGTAGTGTTCCTGGACCATCATTCGGGTTGAGAAAAAAAGGACTAGCAGGGTCTTTTGGGTTGCGATTGATAGGGGGTTTTTGATCTTTGGAAGCCTTTGGTACTAGCTCAATCAAAGGTGGGATGAGGTTTTCTCGGGTGGGTGTTTTATCTTCGGAAGCCATTGTTATGGCATTGATACCATAACGAAAATGGTATTTGCAGAGAGATAAACGAAAATGCAGGGAAGCAGAGAGTTGTTGAAAAATGTGTTTTCACTATTTTTGAATACCTTTACAACATGTTGAGCAATCAATTTATAGCAATAATAAAGAATCAAATAAAGCAATTCTAACTAATTTGTATAGACTGTATGAAACAGAAAACATGGCTCATGGTGAAACAAAATACATCTCATGATATTCTAGAATCATCCTTATTGTGCTGAGATATTTTAGCCGAGCTGGATCATTTGTCTAAGGTGTAGCATTTGTCTAAGGTGGCTTGCTGTGATAAATCTAACATGTATTGAAATCTAAATAATTTATTGAAAGTTGAGTGTTACTTTATTTACAAATTTCCAATATTTTAAAAAGACTAATTTTTGTGCTGATTAATTGAAGTTTGGAGCGTTAAGTTATGTGGCTGCTGAACTGAAGACACATCCTATCGGTACTTGTTGATTTCTACTATTTTTAGGATTTCATGTTTTCTAGGAGTCTAAATCGATGCGTTCCTATTTCATTTTCTTCTTTAAATAGATATGTTTTATATGAATAAATTTTAATTGTTAGATAATGAAACTATAACATGTCATTAGATCCTCCAAAGTTTAGGTAAAATTAGATGAATATTAAAACAATATATAATATTTCAAATTCAAATACCACTAAATTGTTAATGTAGTTGAAGAATCAAGAATGGAGGAAGCAAAAATGTGTAGATGCAAAAAATCTACCGTCATGAAAATAGAGTCTGATCCTGTGAGATTGAGGCCACTAACAATCCACTAGACTTGCACACATGAAAGGACAAACATGAAGCTTACAGAAAACACCAGGGTGGTGTTTGCTATAGGAATACCGACGCTTAAGTTAGCAAAGCTGAAAGAGATTATTTGATGAGAATTAAGAAGAAAAGGATTACCAAGAGTCTTGTCAGAGGCTAAGACTACGACGAAGGCGTCGAGTTCTTGGAAGCAAGAACTTCAGGAGCAAATAAATGGTTTTGAGTAGTTGAGATTGATTATTGGATATTGCTTATTTTTTCCTCCCTTATGAGAGGGCAAACCTTTGTTTATATAGTGAACCCAAGGGGTTGGAATCTTAGTAATACACCGAGTCCTACTTTAGGAGATAATCACTATCAGGAAAGATATAAGATTTCTTGTCTTTATCAGAATAAGTTTACTAGTTTGAGTAAGATTCAAAATCTCAGCAAAAGAGGAAATGGAATATGATTCTGATTTCCTATTTATGGACTGTTATAGTCTAATGGGTTGGAACCCAGTTCAAGTTAACTTGTAGGATAGCCCAACTCATAAAGTTGGCAGTTCACAAGGTGACTTTAAGCATAGGCCCAACTGGAATTGGGTTGAGGCCTTGGGCCGTGACATGTTTATTTCGTTATTGGGTCTCGTCAGGCCCAAGACGATTTTTGGCCCTAACAGTTAGCCCTTTACTCTCTAAGTTAAAGAGTATTTAGCTTAGAGAGTATATTTAATCGAATGAGTGCAGACTGAGCGGATTAGTGATAGCAACTTGTTAGGTCGGATAGATCGTTATATGAAATATGAAAGTTCACTCGACTAACTTGAGTTGGGGGAAGTTTGCTTAACCAACCTAAGTTGGGAGATATATGGAGATTTTGGTCTTGTGTTCGAGTCAGCGTGATCGACTTTGTAATTGAAATTCAAGGCATTGGTCAAGTTGGCGTGACCAACTTTATAGTTGAAATTCAAGATGTTGATCGAGTCGGCGGGACCGACTTTGTAGTTGCAATTCAAGATGTTGATCGAGTCGGCGTGACCAACTTTGTAGTTGAAAGTTCAAGGGTAGTGTGCCCAAGTCGGCGTAACCGACTTTGCAGTTGAAAATATTTGAGGGCTATGTGGCCCAGTCGGCATGACCGACTTTGTAGTTAGAAACAATCGAGGGCTATGTGGCTCAGTCGGCGTGATTGACTTGTAATTGAAATTCAAGGAGCTAGGCCTTGTAGTCGAGTCGGTGTGATCAACTTGCAGTTGAAAATCAATGTATTAGGTCTTATGGTCGAGTCGATGTAAACCAATTGTAGTTAAAAAATTTGTAGATGTTAAAAGTGTTGAGACCTTATTAATCTGACTGACTGTCGATGTAATCCGGGCCTGGTGACTGAGTCGATGCCATGAAACTCACCGCAGAGTTGGATCCGCGTAAGCTGTGTTTAAGATTAAGCCTCGTTCCATGAAACTTGGCTTTGATACCATGTTAAACAATCCAAAGAAATAAGAAAAAAGAGGAGGCTAAGGTTTCATTGATACTGCACAATGCAATTGAATACAAAAGAATAATTTAACCTAAATACAAAGAGACTATATATAGGCTAAACAAAGGAAACTGAAAAGACAGGAAAATAATGAAAAGACTATTCTACCCTTAATAAACAATAAAACAAAATAACCCTATATTTCTTAACAGAAAGGAAGTCTAAAGTTATAAAATACATATAAATTATTAAAAATTAATTTTGTTTTTGTTTATGAAAACATGGGATACAAAAAAAAAAATATTTCTAAAAATGTCTTTGGTAGAAATGAGTTAAAATATTTTCGAAAACAATTTTAAGATACAATCTTAAAAAGAAGTGCAAAGTTGGAAAGCAATTTAATTCATTTTTATAGTTTTCTATAGTTTTTAATCTAAAAATAATTCTTTAAAATTATATCAAACATATTTTTAAATATTAAAAGTATTAAAAATACAACTCAAAATTTGAACCGTGTTACAATTTTAAAATTCTTTTCATATCACATATCGAACGAACCTTAAATTATCCTCTTCCATTTATAAACCTGATCTAAATTAGTTGAAGGACATAACTAATATCCTAATATATATAATAAAAAAATTAAAAGTTGTGAATTTAGAGCAAGGTTTTTTTTTTTTTTTTTTTTAATATATATATAATAAAATCTCGTGTGTTTGACCTTTTTGTCGTGAGCACCCGTTGGCTTTGGAAATGTGACCTAATCTCTAAGGCTTCGTTTGGTTGGATTTTGGGAATACTACTTTTAGTATTCCCAAAAAAGTTAAACAGTAAAATACCCAAAAACTCACAATATTATTTAACTTTATTCAACATTTTTTAAACCCCCTAAATTTGTTAATTCAATTAAATACCCCTAAATATTTTTAATGTTTTTGTTACGGCGACTCCGGCCACCCTCCGGCAGTGGTGGCCGACTGTCCGTATTTGAGGGTGAATTGGGGGTTTTTTTGTTAACTTTTAATGCTTTATTATAAGGGGTGTTTTGTAAAAAAACAAACATATGGGGTATTTTATTAATTTGTAAATCCTACATCGTAATACCCGCCCAATTCAACTTTTTTTTTAACTTTTTTCACAAAACTTTTCCCAAAAGCACAAAATTGTGAACCAAACGGAGCCTAAGTATTTGGCCTTTTTCATCATAACCACCCGTCTGTTTTGGAAATGTGACTTTAACCCCTATTTTTTACAAATTGTTAGATTATTTTGTTCAAGTTTGAAGGAAATGTCATTTTTTACTATTCAGCCAAATTCAATCAATCTAATCCAAAATTTGTAGACAATGTTGAGAGGTTAGTAACTTAATTAGTATGTCTTTTTTAGGTTAAATTTATGAAATGATTGATAAATTTGAAAGTTAAGTTGATAACATTCCCGAAACCAATAGGTGCTCAATACAAAAAATGTCAAACATATGAAAGTTAAGATCGTATTTCCCTAATCAGAGAGTGCTCACTACAAAAGGGTCAAACATACTAGGGTTTACCATTAGAAAAAAAAAAAAAACAAAAAAAATTTAAAAAACCCATACCTTTAAAAAAAAGGTGTAAGCAAAAGGCTGATCTAAAATTGAAAACGAATATACTGCATTTATATTCTAATCTTACAACCTTCTCTTATAACCTTAACGTGACATCAATTGACAATTTTAACTAAACATGAACGGTTGTTCCTTAGAGATAAACGATCGTTCCTTAGGGATGAACGACTGTTCATTAATAAGAAATGGTTGTTCAATTTGTAAGGAATGATTGTTCCTTTATAAACGATCGTTCATGTTTAGTCAAAGTCATTTAGTGCCTTGGATGTGGTTAAAGCTCATATGAAAGTTCCAAATTTAGCTGTCAGGTTGGAGTTATAAAAGAAGGTTATGGGCATACTATTACTCAATTGAGAAAAGGTGGTGTGTTGTTGTTTTAGTTAACCTTATAAGCGCATCGAAATATATATTTAGTTCCACATGAGCTCATATTTATTGGAATATACTTTTGATTTAAAAAATTAAAATTAATATCTGACGACTAATAATTAATGAAATCCAATAAGTAATGAAAGATTAAGGAAATTTAACTTACAATTTTATCATTACTAATTAATTCATACATTATTTAAAACGATAATTAAAAACTTAATCCTTTGTTTTGTATGAACATTAAAATTACGCCTAATTTATTTAATGGGCAATTATAATTTGAAAGCATTCTACGTATCCAATATTTTAATTAATACAATAACTCAAAGTTATTATGATAAACTTATACCATCGAAGCTTGACCATTTAAAGTTTAAACAATTCCGAGGATTGATAATTCATGATATCAAAGATGAAAATTCAATTAATAAACAAAGCAAGAAAATAACAAAAATTCAAGGAAGAATTTTAAATTAGATTTCAACAAATTTAATCTATTTTTTTTACTGTGTTTTGTTACCAAGTGTGATTTCAAATTAAAATATCATTTTCCGATAAATGTGTTGAACTTGATTTTATTTTTACCTTCTCAAAATATTATTTTTTAGATAAACATATCAAATATATTTCCATTTATAATTTGTTCAAAAAAACACAAAATGAATTCAAAAACTAACACACCCTTAATCACATTAGTACCACATCTGCATATTTGCATTACACTAATGTGATGCGTGAACTTCAAAGGATTGGTTTGACAGTTAAGGAGGTTTACTCCTTTCATTTAGTGTTAGGGTTCGAACTTTGAGACCACTTATTATATTGTGATTTATCTGAATTTTTTTGTGATTATAAGGTGTTCAATAAATCTAAAAAATTAATTGAAGTGCGTGTAAATTGACCTGAACATCTTAATTACTTAAAAGGAAAAAGAAAAAAAAGTGATACGTGACAACTTTAGGGGAAGTAATTTAAAAAGTAGTCCACAGTTTTAAGTTGATTAGTGAAACCCTCTCTTTTGATATATATAACGTGTGCTATCAAATACGCCAATAGTATATATATACATACATATATAGTTAATAAAATAATAAAGAAATTATTTTGATAAATGTATGGTTATTCTAGAATTCTGGTTATTCTAGAATTCCCTAGCAGAAATGCAATGGTAGCGAAGTAGATCAAGGTAACGTGATAAAAGTTTAAAATGTGAACAAAATATAACCGTCCGCAAGGATAATAACAAAGCCTTAAGTCATCTCTTCCAACCAAACGTTGATACTTATCGACAGATTTTCAACCAAACCAAATAAACAAATAAAATATGTTTATTATGTAAAAGCGTATTTTAGGTTGACATGCCAACCACGATTTTATTTCTATCCACAATATGCATGCCATTCTCACAATCAAATCTTTTCGATAGATTCGATATTCATTGTATATAATATTATTAAATTATTATATGCATGCTAGATTTTTCCCAAGTACCTTAGCACTCTCAGTTGCGGGGGAGAATAACAATTTCCGCCTCAATGTTTGAAAAAAGATTCTAGAAAATAACAAATATACCCTTTGTCAAGTTTTAACAGTTAAAAGGGTAAAGAATAATACTACACATATAATATTCTTATACAACATTTCTTATACAACATTATGTGACAAAAGATAATTAGATGAAAGTTTAATTTTAATTTAAAATCAGTCAATTATACTTTGTCACATAATGTTGTATGTGTAGTATTACTTAAGGGCAAAATAGTCAAATATGTCAATTATAAAATTAACAAAAACTATTGTTTTGAAATTACAACACACCCAAAATAAAAAAAAATAAAAAAAAAATTAAAACTACCACCATCACTATCTCTTCAAATTTCAATCTTAAAAGTTAAAATATCACCGCTTCTCTCCTAAGACTCTTGCATTAATTGGTAGAGTGGCAAGTTGTGGTGAGGTGAGGAAATTGGGAATATATATATATATATAATTTTTTTTTTTTTTTTGATGACTGTGGTGTTCAGACCAGTTTTTCGGGCACCTCAACTAATCTCCGATGTCCATTAAACATCCTACCAGCTTAATTTTCCAAGTAAGCACAAATGTGATAGGTGATCCTAAGGTGATTGAACTTAAGAGTCAACAAAGGGACAAACCTTCTTGACCATTGTTTGAGGTATTGTTGTAATTAACAAATTATTATAAAATAACTAAAACTATAGTTATCTTATTTTAAAATTGAAATAGAATAAATAATATTACAAAGGAGTATTATAAGACAAAGGACACTAAAGTATACTAACAATAAAGTTTTTAATAAAGATTAACTCACACCAATCTCACAAACTCTCTTCACAATCCCGATTGGCAACTAACAATTGGTCAGATGGCAAAATTATTAGAAAATAATTATAACTACGTCAGGCTTGTCAAAGAAAATTTGTGAAATTGAGTCTTAAATGTAGTATTGTCCTAAAGTTTAAATTATGTTTTCGTCGACAATTGTTTGGGTGTATTTGTTATTTTCAGAATCTTCTGAGTTTTAAAAAACCTTAAAAGAAGTAATTCTCCCTCAGTGGTAGTGTCATTAAGTTAACGGAAGTTTAAAACATGGAGACAACGAAAACGTGAAAGTCTTCGTCTTCTCTCCCAACCGAACATTCAATACTTATCAACTAATTAATTAATTAAAAAAAAATTGATCTTTATTATCGAATTTTTTATCATTTGGCTATTGACCTATTGTAATAGTATAGTGAGCCTAAAGTAGTAGCCAACCACTCCCTTTATTATTCCAAATCCTTCATGTCGCCTCCTCGTATTCTCTCTCTGCTATGGTTACTCCAATCCAACAGAAAGCTCAAAAAACCAAACCCAGATCAAACACTTGCTTTCTTCTTCATTGCTTCGGGGCGTCCAAGAAAGTAGCAGATTCCGAGAAAGTTGTCCAATCTGACAGTAATAATAGCAAGAAAGATATTGGTTTGTTTCGTCGTCGGTCAATCTTTTGCATGGAAATGCCTAATAACAAAACAGTTCCTATAGCTGAAGCTACAGATCATAATCAGCCTAATACCGACGTTCATACACCAAAATCCAAGAAGTCGAAATGGGTTCTTTGTAAGCTCTTGATCAAGAAACATCAGAATTCGATCGTCAACATCACGCCGTTTGAAGAAACTCCTGCAGTCCCGAAAGAAATAGTTGAAGTGGTATGTATTATTAATTTATTATCATTAATCAAATTCAAAACTTACAGATTTTAACCTCGAATTAACTTTTAAGTGTTTTTCGGTTTTCAGGTGAGGGCGGAGGAATTCCAACAAAATCGCACCATTACTGAGGATCAGAAATCATCTGAAGACAACTGTCAAAAGACAGTATCAAATCAGCGGAGAAGAGAGGAAAAAAGAACTGGGATGTCGAGTCAACCCGGTTCTCCTCGAGTTTCTTTGCTGCAGGCTCCGAACCCACCATCTAATTCTCGGATCAAACAGAAAAAGATTCATCAGAACAACAATGTGACAGTCAAAAAATCCGAACACTTGATGGGTATGTCAATTATTATAGTGATTCTGATAATAACTATAGTTTGGGGGCGCTTATGTGCGATTATGTGTACGTCTGCATGGTTCTTCTTCGTCGCTCGTTACAAAAGTGAAAGTAAAACTAGTAGTGATTCAGGTGATCTTGATTTGGATTCTGAAGAGTATAAGAAGAAAGTGGTTTTCGAGGGTTTTCTGGAAAGAGATCACAGGGCTATCCCAAACTGATGATCGTGTTCGCCATGGATTGATGCGCATGTTAACCGTGGCATATAGTTTTTGCTAAAATGAGCCATATAACATTTTGTGTAAATTAGTTATAGAATTAGGAGTTATATTTGCTCACTAACTTTCTCTCACAAATGCGACGTATCAACTTGTAATTGATTAACTCACATAAGTCTCGCATGCCCAATAATGAGTTCCGTTTAACCAAATCAATTGTCAGTTAGCACATGAGGTTAGTGAGAGATGTTTGTGAGATTAGTATTATTGTAAAATTATATAATACTCTTTCTTCTAAAAGTTTGTTTGGGTTTTCAACTTTTGACTTGATTCTCACGTGACATTGTAGAAAGGCACGTGCCAAAATTAATTTTAATATAATTCGTTTATATTATATTATTTATTATGTTATTTTGTAATTAAAGTGTTGTTATCGTATCAAAACTTATATGGTTTGTGGAATCTCCAATTTATAATAGATTTTGCATTAATGCCCCTCCTCAATTCACAACATTTGAAGTTGGGCTCATTACTTAAGTTGCTAAGAAAATTATATTAAATTTTAGTTTTTCACTTTAGTCATCTTATTTGTTGGATTTGACATTGTGGCACTCCTAAAACTATGAGTAATGTTATATTGTTATATATATAAACTAATTATACAAATTATTCCCTACAAATTGACGTAGCAACCCTACATGTTTGACAAACCATCTACTCTAATTTGTTTAAATCATATCTGATTTGAAATCATCCAATGATCACACTAAAACACTTCAACTTAAATCTAAAACCTGAAAACTTTTTCATAAACTCATAGCTTAATTACCTAAAATACCCTAATCATAATAAATTTAAATCATAACATATTTGAATATCATGTTGATTCGGACGTTTTGGTAGAACTTATCTTGTTCAAATATGTTTGAAACCATTGGTTTCGGACAAAACACTGCTAATACCCTTGACAATGATGACTTTTCACAAGAACAAATTGAATTTTTACTTTGCAATTGATTTTTTATGTAAATAAGTGGTTTTATTTAGTTGTTTGGGCTAAATTTTAACTAAGAATAATACTACACATACATAATTCCCATACAACATTTCTCATACAACATTATGTGGCAAGATGTGATTGGGTAAAAGTTTAATTTTAACTTTAAATTAGTCAATCATATCTTGCCACATAATGTTATATGGGAAATGTTGTATGAAAATGATGTATGTATGGTATTACTCTTTTAACTAAAGATGTTGTAAATCGAAGAATTTTGATGTTTTTGACAGAGCATCGGTTGTCTATTTACCGGAATCGATGGTATCAGACATTTTTGCAGTCCAAATAGTACAAATTACCATTTGTAAAAATTAACCCTTATAGGTAAGAAAAGTGTCTGATACGCCATGTTGAATGTTATCAAAAACTTTTCTTTGTCTTCAACCTTGGGCTACAAAAAGTGTCTGATACCTACTCATTGACAGTCCTAGATTTCATATAAAAAACATCAAAATCGTTCAGTTTTTAACATATCCATCTAGAAATTAACCCAAACAACTAACATTAACTACCTGTCAACATAAATATCTTTTAATTTAGTATGGATTATAATTATGGAGAATGAGTTAGATTGATTTTAAGGGTCGAAGAATAAGTTAGGGTTTAAGGTTTAAAAATAACCTAATATATCATGCTAACTTAATCAACATTTTCTAACATATAAAATTCTTAATTTATTCCTAAAAACTATGTAAGAATGAAACAAAAGCAAACACTCTTGGGTCTGTTTGTTTTAATAATTTTCCCTATCTTATTCATACTATTCCCAAAATACACGTTTGTTTCCCAATTCTGAAAATACTATTATATTTTATTCAACTATTTTTAAACCTCCTAAGTTTATTAATTTAACTAAATACCCCTCGAAAAAAAAGGTTTAGAAATTGATAAAAACACTCCCATCCATCCACATTTGCCATATTCCGGCCAGCACCGTCGGAAGGTGGCTGGAATCTAGTATAATGGCATACTACCAGCTAGATCTGGTCGGTAGTGTGTCGATATAGCATTTTTTGGCTAGATCCGCAGTGGATCTGGCCGGAAATGCCAGATCTTTGGTCGTAGCTAGTCGTCAACGACGGCCAAGATATGGTTATCGTTGACCATCAACGATGGCCACATCTTTGGGTGTCATTGACAACTAGATGCAGCTAGATCTGGTCGTCAATGGCCAGATCTAGCTATAGATCTGGCCTTTTCTAGCTAGATCCACGGTGGATCTGGCTAGAAAAGGCCATCTCAGTGCACGACTAGCCAGATTCAATCGGTCATGCGTTGATATGACGACTTCAGCCATCCTTTGACGGTGGTGGCCGGCTGCTGGTATTCAATGGGTGGGTGGTGGTGTTTTTGTAATTTTTAATATTTTTACTATAGGGGTGTTTAGTAAATTTACAAACCTAGGGGGTGTTTTGTAACTTTCATATCTTACCTCGTTATTCCCACCCAACTCTTATTTTTTCAAAAATCTTATCCAAAATAATAAAACAAACAGACCTCTTATTTTTTACATTATGAATCATAAATTGATTTTGCGAAGCAATTTTAATAAATGTACATGGGTTATAATGTTTTAAATTTGAAAGCAACTTTTTCTTCATATGACACATAAATAATGAAATATGATCGTCAAATATACTAAAGAGGAAAGAAAAAGTAAATTGTTTTTTATTTTTTTAACACCAAAATGTTCAATTCAATTTAAGTATTACTTGTATCCTAAATAATATGGTATGAATCAATAACTAAAGGCCACTTATAATAAATAAGACTTGGCAAAACGAGTCCAGACCCGCAGGTCGACCTGTACTCGGGTAAAAAATATAAGGTGTGGGTCTAATGCATTAGACTCGTTTTTTTGGACCTATACCCGACCCGACCTGTATTTTCAATGGGTAATACAAGTGTACCCGCGGGTATCCATTTATTAATAAAAAAAAAAAAAATAAGGGATTTGAAATCCCTAAATCAGTTCACTCTCAGTCTCAACGCAACTTTCTCAAGTCTCATCGTCGCCAACCATCTCCTCTCTCTCACCGTCGCCACTCGCCATCTCCTCTATCTCACCGTCGCAACTCACCATCTCCTCTCTCTCACAGTCGCCAGTCGCCATCTCCTCGCTCTCACCGTCGCAACTCTCTTCTCTCACTGTCTCAAAGTGTCACCGTCGCCATCTCCGGTATGTTTAATTTGCTGTTTTGTGGAAACTTAATGCTTAATTTGTTGTAGTTTGGTGTTTGCTTTGAATCGTTAATTTGCTGTAGCTTTCTCATCCCTTTAATGTGAGGATAGAACCTTCAAGCATTTAGTAATATCTACACTTTCAGATTGTAACGTATGATTTGCACGATAAGTGTCTCTATCAGTCAAGTTGATATTAGTGGAGGCATAGTGGTGAATCTTTTTATCAAAATCATTGGGTGGATTGTGGAGGCACCCACCATAACTTTGATTGACTGGAGAAATTTTGATCTTGTATGAATCTGCCACATGATCATTTCATCATCTTGTACACGACATCCCATTTGGGTCGCATTTTTAGGCATTTAGTAAGTTGTCCTATCCTTTATTGTTTTAGCATTAAGAGATTGTTCTTAAGAATCGAACGTGCATTCTAGCACTCTTCAGGCTCAGAATATCATGATCCCCCGCATAACTTTTTTCCTATGAGAAAAAGCTACTTCATAACTTGTTGAATTCTGTTATCTATAGTTCTTACTGGCTTTAGATAAAATGTTGCTTAAAGTTACTGCATGACAACTATATACATAACTTGTTTAGAAACTTAGCTCATTTGTTTTCATAAATAATTTTGTTTGATCATATCAAATATTAATTTGTAGTTTGTTTTGAAATGATCAGATGTTATGCAAATTACTAGCGTATAATGATTTTGCACCATTATTTGCCCTTATGATTAGACCTGAGATTAAGAATTAAACCGTGATGTCTCATTGACCTGGAATTATATGCGTAGTCCATTACCATGCCTATTCATTCTTTCAGTTCCTTTGCTCCCATGTTGATGGATTAAGGAAATACTTAAGTGTAAAACATTGAGGTTTTGTCTTCACGAATGCTGCAGGCTGTTACATATTAATTTTAAGTTGTCAATCTAATATATAGATATATTTTGTAGTCTCAAGTATTGACATGATGGATTCTGAAACTATAGATACAGACATGGTTAATGTGCGAGCAAGTGACGATGCTTCTAGGGTAATGCCATCTCCTTCTAATTCTAGTATTTATGCAACTAGCTCTAGAAATAAACGTAAAACATCAGAAGTTTGGAATTACTTTGAGACATATGTTGATGAGAATAAGAATGAGAGGGCTAGGTGTAAGGCATGCAATAAAACTTATGCATATGGTAGTACCACACATGTGACTAAAAATTTGAAGCGTCTTATGGGAGATTGTCCAAAACGTGGCAACCATGATGTAGGGCAATTATTGATTGATCATGATCATAGATTGTAAAGTAGAAAGATTAGTCAAGAAACTTATCATGAATTTATGAAATTATCAATTATTAAACATAATTATCCATATTCATATGTGGAGAATCAAGGAACTAGAAGAGTCTTTTCGTATGTGTGTCAGGAGCTTAAGCATTATTCTAGGAGCACCGCTAAGGCGGATTGCTTAAAAATATATGAAATGATGAAGCAAAAAACTAAGCTTGAATTAGGGAGGCTTACTAGTAGAATATGCTTAACTTCTGATGTTTGGACTTTTGGTGCAACTGAGGGATATATTTCTTTGATAGCTCATCATATAGATGAGGATTGGGAGTTACAAAGTAAAATACTAAACTTTCGCCATATTCCTCTTCCACACTCAGGAGTTGTTTTGGCAGATAATATTATGAATTTCTTGCAAGACCGGGGAATTTAAAAGAAAGTTTTCTCAATTACTTTGTATAATGCAAGTAGTAATGATATGATGAAAGATATCTTAAGGAACCAGCTTTGTGTGCAGAATGTTTTGTTATATAGGGTGAATTTTTCCATGTGCGATATTCTGCACATGTATCTTGAATCTTATTGTTCAAGAAGGATTAAAAGCTACTAGTGTCGCTTTAAATAAGATTCGAGATAGTGTAAAATATATTAAAGCAACTGAGGCTAGAAGAATCAAGTTTGGAGAACTTGCGGTACAAATAGGAGTGAAAAGCTAAATGGGGTTGAGATTGGATGTTTCCACTAGATGGAATTTGACATTTTTAATGCTTGAAATGACGTTAATATATCGTCCTGTGTTTGTGACTTTATTAACAATAGATCTCAGTTATAAATTTTGTCCATCAGATGATGAATGGGATAAGGGGCGAGGATATACAAGTTCCTAGAACCATTTTATGATATTACGACTTTATTCTCAGGTTCTAAATATCCTACAGCAAACTTGTGTCTTAGTGATTATGTATTTGTTTATTATGGTTGGTATTTGTAGTTTTGTATATTATAAGTTATTGACTTGTTGTGTTTAGTTATTTGTATTACTATTAGTGATTATGTATTTGTTTATTTTGGTTGGTATTTATAGTTTTGTATTATATCTTATTGACTTATTGTGTTTGTTTATGTGTTATTTGTTTATATTCTAAATTGAATTGAGTTTAGAGTAGTTGATTTTGGGGGTGTAAACATAAAAAATTAAAACTGCAAGAATTTTGGGGTGTAACTGTCATAATTGAAAACTATTAGAGGTGAAAAAAATCTAAAACCTGGAGAGAGAAAAAATGGGTACCTGCAGGTCCACCCGTACCCACATAGGGTAGGGTACGGGCCCAATATTGTGGACTCGTATATCGCAACCCGTGACCCAAACCAAACCTGGCCCACCCGCCCATGTTGCCAGGTAGTTATATCTTCAATTTAATTTGATTGTTTGTTTTATTAAAAGTATCAATTTTCAATTTTTATGTAGTTAATTAATGGTATTAGAAATATGATGCATTGCTAATATAATCACAAAATTTTATAATAACTTGTAATTAGCATGTAACTAATATGTGGGTAAGTTGATTAAATACAAATATTGAAAATTTCATTTAGACGTCATTAATTTAAAAAAAAAATCATATGTCATATCTTAAATATTTGAAATAAATATTATTTAAGTGTTTAATAAAACAAAACAAACAACTCCTAACATTTATTTTTATCATATTTCATGGTCTATATTACAATTAGTGCCACATCCTTGGAACACAAGGAGATAAGTGATAATTTTACAACATATGAGGAAACATTAGATATTCTTGAAATATCAGGAGAGTTCATTGATAATAACCTAATAACTATTTTTTATAGTTCGACCAACACATTATTTAGAACTGGGCCGACCCAAGACTTAACGTAAGGCCTACTTCCAAAACTCCCAGTCCAGTTATCCCAAAACCAGATCCAAATGCGTTACCCAGCCGACTCCGTATAACAACCCTAACCCTAATGTCTTTGCTATAAATTGTCACTCATTTTTCCAGCGGCCTCTAGTTCACCTTAGGGTTTTTCGAAGCAGAACAGAGCTCTCGCTTTCTCTGAGTACCTTCAACCATGGTATCGCTTCTGTTACTCCTCTTTCACTAGATGCTTGCTAATTTCGTTTATGTTCTGTTTGCGTTGATAAGATGTGTGTATTTCAGTTTCGGTTTTGAAGTTGAATGCTTATATTATCATGCTATTTAACTTATTTATTGACATTTTTCTTGAATCCAAGAAAGTAGGTTGGATTGGGACTTTAACTTCTTTGTGAACTTATATTGTTGGATGGCGAAAGAGATTATGCGATTTTTTATTGTTGTTTTTTTTTTGTTTTTTAACTCACATCGAAGGAAAGAGGTTGCTTTAGTTAGCTCGGGCAGTGAAATCTAGAGTGAATGGATTTAAGTATGTAGCTGTCAATTCCTATGTAGGATCTAGTTTCATTGAGTGAAGTTAATGTGTGTTTGTTTGCCTTTGTTGTTTGATGATCAATGCTCAAATCTGCATTTGATGTATTTATATGTGCGGTTTTCTATTTTTAATATGAGGTACGTTGATTAATTGAATTCTTCTGGGCATTTAATTTGAAGGATATATTATATGCATTTGTTCGGCTTGTAGTACTGACTGGAAAAAAAACAATAGCAGAGACATATATCTAATGTTGAGTCATTTTTCTTACGGTAAATTGTTCTATTGAAGTATGTTTTTGATAATTCATTCTTGTTACTGTTAGAATCTGTTTCAGATTTGTATTTAGGTGCAAAAAGCATATATCTAATGTTGGGTCATTTCTCTTAGGGTAAATTGTTCTATTGAAGTATGTTTTTGATAATTCATTCTTGTTACTGTTAGAATCTGTTTCAGATTTGGATTTAGGTGCAAAAAGTTGTCAAAGTTCACTGTGATTGCTTAAGAATGTGTTGGCGGTTATTTAAATTTCCATTATCTTAAATGAATCGTAACCTGTCTTGTAGGTGAACGTTCCCAAGACAAAGAAGACATACTGCAAGAGCAAGGATTGCAGGAAGCACACCTTGCATAAGGTCACACAATACAAGAAGGGCAAGGACAGCCTTGCAGCTCAAGGTAAGAGACGTTATGATCGCAAGCAATCTGGTTATGGAGGACAAACCAAGCCCGTTTTCCACAAGAAGGTAATAATTTATGTGGATTTCTTTTGTTCCTTGTTGAAACATGAATTCTTTTTGAAATGAATGAAAAACTTTAGTTTTGATGTCTGTTGAGTAATTCATGTTAATTCCAGTTCTGATGCTCAAAATGTTTACTGGTTTTTTATCTAATAGGCAAAGACAACAAAAAAGATTGTCTTGAGGCTTCAGTGTCAAGGTTGCAAGCACGTGTCTCAACACCCTATCAAGGTTGGTGTTTTGAAACATTTTTGCGTACTTTAGTAGTTTAGTTCTCCCTTTTTGCCTTTATCTGCTAACTTTGTTTGTGCTGGTATTTGCAGAGGTGCAAGCACTTTGAGATCGGTGGAGACAAGAAGGGCAAGGGAACATCTCTGTTTTAAATTTCGTGTTGTGTTATTTATTTTCAGCTGTTAATGCAACTTAGCCTGTATGGCAAATATTTTGTTTAGTTGTGTTTTTGTCTGATGAGTCATTTTAAAACATTTGAGTTGTTTTTTTTTGGTTGAAAACAGTTTATGATATCAATTAACTTTAGGAATTTATTGGGCTATTATCAGCAATACTTGTTTGGTTCAATTAAGATGGGATTTGCTTACATTATGACGGTGCCTGTCATAAGCCAAAATGGTGAGTAAGTAATTTTGGGATTGGTAAGTCTTACTAGGAAAACATTTTGAATGTGTTTGTATGAACAAAATAGGATGGGACTTGAGAAATCGGATTTTATTCATTTGTTGTAATATGAAATGAGGAATTATCGAAAGTATTCTTACATTTCTATGTATATAGAATTAGTCTTTGTACCGAAGATGGTATGTTACAGAATCAGATTCAAGATGACCAACAAAATAACAACTAACAAGTTCAAGATGACATACAAAATAACAAGTCCAAGATGACCTAAATATGACTGATATATCTTATTATTTCTCATCGTTGAAAATAGAACTGGACAGAGGATATAAATGTTATTGTTGAAAGTGAGATATTATCGGTGGCAAGTGGTTCAACAGGGGTTTTCGGTGCTATAAAAGGTCTTGGGTTTAGAGTTTTGCGTTTTGTTGATAACCATTGGATTTTTTAGTTTTATAGTCTTAGAAAATTAGTTGAGTTAAAAAAAAAAAATAAAAAAAAAAAGATAATTTATATAAAGGTATGTTATATAAAAACTATAAATACAATTCATTAATGCAAATTATTTTCTACAAATTAAAGGGACAATCTTCCAGCTATCACGTATAATTTTTGTAATTACTAAAATAGATCTATTTATATCATATAATCTATATAAAATGTTTGCCAATGAAGAATTATTGTATGAAAATAATAGTTATGATACCTCTTCTTATAGGCCTTCTAAAACCCTCTAAAAGTTTTATTTTTATTTTTTAAATAACCATAAATTAACCCCATTTTTTAATTAATGGAAAGGGTTTGTAATATAAAATAACGTTATATGTACTAATTATTTTGTACTAATCTAAATACTAACATTAAAAATTTTAATTTTTTTCAAAGAAATTTAAATTTTGAATGATAGTATTTAAATGAGTACAAATTGGTTAATCCATATTCTTGTAACGTATTTTAAACAGAGTGGGTGGCGAAACTATGTCTTAAGGCGTGTCTATGCAATTACCAAAAAGTCCAAGCTACTTATTGGAAGTGCAGGAGGATAAGTGGAAGTTTCAAGTTTCAACCCTAAACCCTAGAATCCGCTTTCCTTCTCAAATTCCATCAAACGAAAATGCAAAGTATGAGGAGTCTGATTTCAAGCAGCGGCATGAGGAGGATTTTACAATCATCAAAAGCATCATCATCAGTAATCGCATCTCGTTCTTACTCTCTCATTCCGATGGTGATTGAGCATTCCTCCCGAGGCGAAAGAGCCTACGACATTTTCTCTCGTCTTCTCAAAGAGAGAATCGTTTGCATCAACGGACCCATCAATGACGACACTGCCCACGTTGTCGTCGCTCAGCTCCTCTTCTTAGAGTCTGAAAACCCTTCCAAGCCTATTCACATGTATCTTAACTCTCCCGGTGGACAAGTCACTGCAGGTCTTTCTAATCTAATCTAATTAATTGCCTTCATTTATTGTTTCTAAAATTCTGTTGGGTCTTTTGTGTTTTTCGATTATTGGGATTTTCGACTGCGTTTTTATATATATATATATATTTTTTTTGTGTATGCACTTAACTTATTATGTGTTTTCATTAATTTATATTCTTTATGATAATTTGGCAGACGAAAGAAAATTATTAAATTCTCTTTAAGTCGCAGCTTAAATTTATTTAAAACTTACAAATAATAATGTGTTTTTGAATTTTGAGGACTTCTATGGATATATTTTTGAGTAAAGGCGCTTCATATAAAAGAAGGAACCTGATGTCCCTCTAAAAGTGAGAATAAGGAAACTATCAAGTGCTTCTTTTCTCCGAATGCGCTCCATTTTTATTTTTTTCCTCCAATCAATTGTAAAAAGTACTACTTTGATTATGTTAAGTGTTTTTACTGGGGAAAAAAAAAAAAAAACTCTTAGTGGCATTATAAGTTTCAACCAACTTGCAGGGTCTGTTTTACCTTAGTATATGTAGAGGTGATACCTATTTTGAGTCATATTTAAGCACAAACATTGGTAAGATGAAAATGATGGTGTTTGTAAGTCAAATATATAAGTATGTTACTAATCCTTGTTTCTTCTTATACAGGCCTTGCAATTTATGATACCATGCAATACATTCGATCTCCAATTAATACCATTTGTTTGGGTCAAGCTGCATCGATGGCTTCCTTGCTTTTAGCTTCAGGTGCCAAGGGGGAGAGGCGGGCACTACCAAATGCGACGGTCATGATTCATCAGCCGTCTGGAGGGTACAGTGGGCAGGCAAAGGATATGACGATTCACACAAAGCAGATAGTTCGGGTCTGGGATTCGCTGAATGCTTTGTATTCAAAGCACACGGGGCAGTCAGTAGACATAATTCAAAAGAATATGGATAGAGATTACTTTATGACCCCGGAAGAGGCAAAGGAATTTGGTATAATTGACGAAGTTATTGATCAAAGACCAATATCTTTGGTGACTGATGCTGTTGGGAAAGAAGGCAAAGAAGGGAAAGAAGGCAAAGAAGGGAAAGAAAAAGGTTCAAGTTAGGATTGAGGGTAAGATATTTATGTTTCTAATTTTGTAAACTTTATTTGATATTCGACGCTCAGTTCCAGAGTTAATACACATTTTTCTTCTTTCTGGAATATTTTAGGCTTGACCTTTTCTCTCATTCTCTCTCCCTTTTCTGGTGCGGATCTCCATTGCCTATTGACACTTTTTATTGTTATGCTTGTTCTTTTTAGACATGTTTGGATTCTACTGAAAATAAGTGTCTAAATTGTGAACATTAGTATCATTGGTACCAGACAGGGATTAAATGATTTTGTGCTGATAGAGATTCTCCAGTGACCTTAAGTCTGAATGATGCTTGAGAGCTGTTACATTTTACATATGAAAATCAAAATCCAGTTTTGGATTATAAAAGGTAGTATTGTTTCTGGATTTTATTGGAAAGTTTCCATAGTAATGTGTTGGTTGTTGAGTTAATTAGGCTATTTTTATTTGATGGTCTTTTTTAGAGTGTAAGGTGTAAAATCTTCATGAGTGAAAAAGAGGGCCGCTTTGTAGAGCACATACAAAAAGCTGATCTTGGTCCATTCCTCACAGCTTGACTTATTCTTTGCATACTGATGCAGCCATTGAAAAGAATGTTGTTATTAATTTCCGTGTAAGTCTTATTTTGGTAATTTATGGTTTCTTTTCTGGTAGGTTCTCATACAACATTTGGTGAATACCAATGCCAGATTTTGAAGATTGAGTTGCCTTTAGTTTGTGATTGAACAAATTTTTAATTGGAGCATTAGTTTAGGCTTATAGGATTTTTGAGTTGATTAATGAGAACCTGTGATTATTTTCTAGCTCTTTTATGGGTGATTTTCTTTGTACGTTCTTTCTTGATCTTTTATTATGGTAAAATCCAATCTTAAGTTTTGGTTTTGATTGCTGATCAGACTCTCTATATACGGCTGCTATATACTATAATTCTTCAAGGTTTTACCATCAAACAAATTTCTTTTGAAACCCAAATTAAGTCTGAGATCCTTGATTCTTTTTTCTTATTGCCAATAAACACAACTTTACTGTATCACATGCTTATATATTTTCAATGTAGAATTTGTAAACAATAATGTACCACTTCTTTCCATTTGTTTTCTTTACTAAGATGAAGTGAATCCTTTTGTTTTATTTTGGGTCTTTTAATCCTTTAGTCCTATTGTTGTTAATATACATTCTTTTTAAGTAGAGTTTTGTTAACATATGTTCATCGATAAATATTATATCTGTTCAAGATTAATTAATCTTCATATGTAAATTCTTCTTTAAGCTTCTCAACATCCTGATTGTTAGTATAATTTAGGTGTAGGGGATGTTTGCTTTTGACGTAAACTGAAATTTTAGTTTGGACTTTGCTTGATGCAGCAAATTGACTACATTATCTTTCAATTTGGTGAGCAAGTTGGCACATACAATTATGGATCCTGGTTTATGATTATCCTGGATTTGGTTATAAATAAGCAGGACTGTGCTGGATTTTATGTGAGCTATTGATGAATGTTTACTCTTTATTTGGTAAATTTGTGGTAAAGAAGCTAAAATCTATGAGATATGTTGGGTATTTTAGTGTTGTGTGAAATACATTAAGTACTTTTCAGAGTTGATCAACTTGATTGTGAGGGTTGATGTTTTACAAAGTGCCAAATTTAAAGATTTCTAAATTTATTACTTATTACTCCTTCAGTTTTATGGATCATTCTCATATTTGGTCGAAGGCTTTCTCAAGTATCTCATAGTTAGCTAGCTTACCATGTATGTTGAGAATTTAATTGTCAAATACCAAAAAGTGACACACCTTAGAGAAGCTTCATCAATTTCCTTTCTATGTGTAAGTGTTGCAGTTGCCAATTGGGTATGGCCTGAATAATAATGGTAAATCACTGAAAAAATTGTGAATTGTTGACTTGTTTTGACATGGTAGTTGGACCTTTAGGCTAGAGATCTATTGCTAAGGTTCCATGATTGTTGATGTTGCCTCTTGGCCTTCTGAAGTTGAGTTGTTGATTACCAGGATTTAGTTGGTTTGGGGCTTCGGGCTTCTGACATGGTGTAATCATGCTGTTTGATTGTCTTATGAGTACAGAAGAGTGTAAAGTTATTCTCATAGGTATTGCACATGGTAAACACACAAACTATTGAGAATTTTTTGAGATACTGGTTTTGGAACACTAGGATTGAGCTGCTGTTTAAGATTAGTATGATTTCTACTTAATTATTCTCTTACAATTGATGAATGTGTGGTTGATTCAATCGGCCTATGTTTCAAGCTTGAGCTTGTTTCTCAAGTGGGTGGCTGCATTTCTAAATATGACAAACCAGGCCAGCAATTTAGTTTTCATTTTACAGTTAGATTGGGTGATTATCATACATGAGGGTATGGCCAGACTCTTATGTGAGACATAAAACTTATGACATTGAATTGCCAATTAGTAAGATGCAATATGTTTGAAGTCCTTTTTGTTTTACCTTATTCAATTCATGACTAATTATGAAAAGACTTGAATTCGTATTTTAAAGTTATTTGAAATGATATGGGTGAAGTTGTAATTAAAAGATTTGTCATCTAAAATTTTATGAGGTTAAATGAAACCTTTATAAAAAGGAAAATGAAAGGGTTACCGAAAAGTTTACACCGAATTTGTGCACTGAATAACATGGCAAAATCTTGACCGTTTATTAATGTTAACTGATAATAAATCAAACGGTCAGGATTTAGTCACGTCATTCAGTGCACAAATTCGGTGTAAACTCGTCGGTAACTGTAGCATTACTTTTATAAAAAATTATCACTGGAAAACGTTTTTGTTAGCAAACATTTTGCCTCGGTAGTGTTAACTTTTACATAAATCTATTTTATTAATGGTGTCAGCGGTATAGACTCTAATAAATCATTCAAGGAATGAAATTATAATGTGACTAATCTCTTTAATTAATTGTATCTACTTGACTTATTTATCATAGGATGATCTAACTCAATCTCATTAATAAATGGATCAAACATGTAACATATTAAGTTGTGACATAATTCATTATATGTTCAACCCCTTTATGATCTATGAATTGTTTGACCTATTTAATAATAAAAAATTATCATTATCAAAACTTTGGATATTATATTAACAATATATATTTTTACCTTGAGTTTAAGTAAAAAAAAAAAAAAATATTATATTAATTCTCAGATTTGTTAAAATAAATGGGTAAGTTATTAGATGGGTTAACATAATATAACATTATTATGTTGACACAATTATGTAATCTGAAACTATTTTAGGTCAATTGTAATACACTATTCTTATGTCGTGTTAATTATTAATGTAATAGAAGTAAAATTGTTGTTTAAAAATGCATAATTTTAATTATAAAAAAGAAATAATTTAAGATAAATAAATTGAATAATATTAATACTATTTAAATGTGAAATTCGTGAAGTTAATGAGTTGATGAAAGGAAAACACCGACAGGGACAGGGAGACTGAGGCACAGGCAGGCGACTCAACTCATTCACTCACGCGTACACCAAATCCCTCAATTTACCAAATCCCACCTCCATTCACGACACCAACACCAACACAATACAAACCCCCCCCCCTCACACAAGGATATACTCTCTCTCTCTCTCTCTCTCTCTCGTCAACCGCCTCAATTTCTTGCTCAACTACCCTCCTGCGCTCTCTATTATCAATCAACTATTTTCCTTTGCGATGCCGTAGCGCTCTCCGACGCCGGAACTCCTCGCCGCCGGCGGAATCTCCGGCTTAATTACCTGGATTTTAGGTTTTTCGATTTCGATTCTTTCTGCCTATTCGATTCGATTGTCCTTTCATTTGGGAGCCTCTGGAGGTTTTGTTTCTTTTTCTCTTCTATTAGTATATAGGTTGCGTAGAAGAGATTTATAGATAGAAACGACATGCTGGGGTCGTAAAAAGGGAGGCAACAAGCCAAGCCAAGAGTCAGTTGAGTATGGGGGATCTTGTTCTCGCCAAAGTCAAGGCTTTCCTGCCTGGCCTGCCAAGGTCATTTTTCTCTCCAATTTTGATTCTTTTTCTTATTTTCTTTTTTGCTTGATATATGGCTGTATTGATGGACGTGATTCTGTGGGCGTGTTAGGGTTTTTTTTGGCCTCAATTTTTTTTTTTTCTATTTTACAATTATTCGGGAGTGGGTTTAAATTATATTTTCAAAGTGTTCTCTGTTCTGGCAATGACTTACTGAATTCTTTTAATTCGTTTTGGTTTGAATTTTGATTTCTTGTAGAATTATGATTTCACTTTTTAGTGGGGTTCGGTGGGATACTGTTTTGTTCCCATTTACGTATCAGATTCTGAGTTACTTCATAGATGTAGGTTCCAATATTTGACTGGTTTGAGCTTTTCCTGACCAAGTTTTGAAGTTCTTAGTATTGAAATAATGGAAAACAAAACTGTGGTTTCTATAGATGTTTATTATTATTCAAAACAAAACTAGGTTTATTTGTCTGTTTCGATTTAATTTGGAGATTGGTATATGTTTATTGTTCTATCGATTGCATATCAGTTCTTCTTTGCTATTTGGCTTTTATTTATTGTGAGATCTGGATGTAGAAAATTTCCTTAAGAATAATGGTTTTGTTGCAGCTTCTTTTTCCCTGTAAATTTTGACCAGTTTGATAAGTTAGATTTGATATCCTTTCAAACCTTTTTACGTGATAGCCTTTTTTTCAACCCTCAATCGGGGTCTAAGTTCTTTATTTTGTACCGTAGTGATTTACCTCTGTTTGGATTTTTAGGTTGCATGGTTATTTGGTTAGCATTTGAGTTACTTTGGTGGGTTTTGAATTTTTCAGATTAGTCGACCTGAAGACTGGGATCGAGCTCCGGACCCTAAGAAATATTTTGTTCAATTCTTTGGAACACAGGAAATGTGAGTATGCTTCCTACAATTGCTGCGTTATTGTTTGAGAATAGTAGATAGCTATCCTAGTTATCAAATAGTGAGACACATGGCATTAACATTGGCTGTATCTACTCAACTGTCTGCTCATTGCTATTCTAGTAAATTGTGAATATTTTGATTAGGAGCATATATTCATTTTTTAACAATATCAAGCGTTTCAATTGGTAATTGAGGCCATTTTTTAATTTTTACAATAAATAATGTCTTATTNTTCAACCCCTTTATGATCTATGAATTGTTTGACCTATTTAATAATAAAAAATTATCAGTATCAAAACTTTGGATATTATATTAACAATATATATTTTTACCTTGTGTTTAAGTAAAAAAAAAAATTATATTAATTCTCAGATTTGTTAAAATAAATGGGTAAGTTATTAGATGGGTTAACATAATATAACATTATTATGTTGACACAATTATGTAATCTGAAACTATTTTAGGTCAATTGTAATACACTATTCTTATGTCGTGTTAATTATTAATGTAATAGAAGTAAAATTGTTGTTTAAAAATGCATAATTTTAATTATAAAAAAGAAATAATTTAAGATAAATAAATTGAATAATATTAATACTATTTAAATGTGAAATTCGTGAAGTTAATGAGTTGATGAAAGGAAAACACCGACAGGGACAGGGAGACTGAGGCACAGGCAGGCGACTCAACTCATTCACTCACGCGTACACCAAATCCCTCAATTTACCAAATCCCACCTCCATTCACGACACCAACACCAACACAATACAAACCCCCCCCCCTCACACAAGGATATACTCTATCTCTCTCTCTCTTTCTCTCGTCAACCGCCTCAATTTCTTGCTCAACTACCCTCCTGCGCTCTCTATTATCAATCAACTATTTTCCTTTGCGATGCCGTAGCGCTCTCCGACGCCGGAACTCCTCGCCGCCGGCGGAATCTCCGGCTTAATTACCTGGATTTTAGGTTTTTCGATTTCGATTCTTTCTGCCTATTCGATTCGATTGTCCTTTCAGTTTGGGAGCCTCTGGAGGTTTTGTTTCTTTTTTCTCTTCTTAATTAGTATATAGGTTGCGTAGAATAGATTTATAGATAGAAACGACATGGCTGGGGGTCGTAAAAAGGGAGGCAACAAGGCCAAAGCCAAGAGTCAGTTGAGTATGGGGGATCTTGTTCTCGCCAAAGTCAAGGGCTTTCCTGCCTGGCCTGCCAAGGTCATTTTCTCTCCAATTTTGATTCTTTTTCTTTATTTTCTTTTTTGCTTGATATGATGGCTGTATTTGATGGACGTGATTCTGTGGCGCGTGTTAGGGTTTTTTTGGCCTCAATTTTTTTTTTTTCTATTTTACAATTATTCGGGAGTGGGTGTTAAATTAGATTTTCAAAGTGTTCTCTGTTCTGGCAATGACTTACTGAATTCTTTTAATTCGTTTTGGTTTGAATTTTGATTTCTTGTAGAATTATGATTTCACTTTTTAGTGGGGTTCGGTGGGATACTGTTTTGTTCCCATTTACGTATCAGATTCTGAGTTACTTCATAGATGTAGGTTCCGATATTTGACTGGTTTGAGCTTTTCCTGACCAAGTTTTGAAGTTCTTAGTATTGAAATAATGGAAAACAAAACTGTGGTTTCTATAGATGTTTATTATTATTCAAAACAAAACTAGGTTTATTTGTCTGTTTCGATTTAATTTGGAGATTGGTATATGTTTATTGTTCTATCGATTGCATATCAGTTTTTCTTTGCTATTTGGCTTTTATTTATTGTGAGATCTGGATGTAGAAAATTTCCTTAAGAATAATGGTTTTGTTGCAGCTTCTTTTTCCCTGTAAATTTTGACCAGTTTGATAAGTTAGATTTGATATCCTTTCAAACCTTTTTATGTGATAGCCTTTTTTTCAACCCTCAATCGGGGTCTAAGTTCTTTATTTTGTACCGTAGTGATTTACCTCTGTTTGGATTTTTAGGTTGCATGGTTATTTGGTTAGTAGTTGAGTTACTTTGGTGGGTTTTGAATTTTTCAGATTAGTCGACCTGAAGACTGGGATCGAGCTCCGGACCCTAAGAAATATTTTGTTCAATTCTTTGGAACACAGGAAATGTGAGTATGCTTCCTACAATTGCTACATTATTGTTTGAGAATAGTAGATAGCTATCCTAGTTATCGACTAGTGAGACACATGGCAATAACATTGGTTGTATCTACTCAACTGTCTGCTCATTGCTATTCTAGTAAATTGTGAATATTTTGATTAGGAGCATATATTCATTTTTTAACAATATCAAGCGTTTCAATTGGTAATTGAGGCCATTTTTTAATTTTTACAATAAATAATGTCTTGTTGCCATTTGAATTCAGAATTATTATTATTTTTTGTTTGATGTTATAGATTGCTAGCAGTTCGGTATAAAACTGGACATGTGAAACGGCAGTTAGTTAATTTATCTTAGATTGGGATTATAAATTGCAGATGATTTAGTGACTTACATCTGCTTATTTGTTATTCTAGTTTTATAGTATTTTGGCTTTGAGCATATTTGTTGTTTTGTGCTAAATTGTAATCTATGTGTGGTTGAGGCCTATTAACTGTGTAATATACTTTTCTCACTGGAGATGGTTGTAATGACATAGTAGGGCTAAATGGATAGTAGTGCTTTAGTCAGGTGGTGTAAATTTAAGTCTTTTAGGCTTGTGCATATACGCTTGAGTTTCTTGGCCTAAAAATATTGAGACAATCATCCAAGTTGGAAGTCTTATATTTCTTATGTTTGAAATTCTTTTATGAGCTTTCCTCATAAATTAAGTGTTATAGTTGTTTCTTGATTTTTCTTTCCAATAATGTCTTTTTAATAGAATTGTTGAAGCTAGATTTTTGAGCTTTAGGCTTATAGTTTCACTGATGAATAGTTGATAACTTCCAAATTTTTTATTAAGTTCTGTTTGTTTTCTTAATCTACATATTAAATTTGTTCTATAGTCATTGTGAGAAATAAATCAAATTTATATCTAATAATTTAAATTATACACCACGTGTTGGGATATGCTTACCATTTTGAAATATTGCATCTATAACAGTCTTGATAATACATTTTAAAACCATCATGTCTACATCATAGTCTAGCCACAAAGTTATTCTCGTGATTAGATTTTTACCACTACAATAAGAAAGTTAGTCACCACCATTACTAAATTCAAAGTCTGCATGCAAATATCAATCGCCATGAATACAATAGTACAGAAGATTTAGCAGTCAACTTTATATTTTTAACTCAAAAATTCCAAAGCTTTATTTTTATGTGCACCAAAGTCCGAATTGAGGTATCCAGGGGGCTTTGCATTTCTTACCTTTTGCCAAGGAACCAAGAGTTATACCATTCAACCCACCACATAGAGTTGTGTAGAAATAAATATCTAAAAAAAGAAAATTAAAAGAAGGAAAAACCAGAAAATTAAGAGCTAAGAACATACAACAGTGGACTTTTTTCAAATGTCTCTTGCTACAGCTGGCTTCTAGGTAATTGGAGTTGGTTGCAGAACATAGAAGTTATCATATTGTGCAATTAACGTTATTTTTCTTTCTTTGTTTCTAATTTTAAAAGTGCCTATAGCTTTTTGTCTTCTATTTGTTGGTTTTCTTTACTTTCAGGAATAAGTTTAATCGAATCATCTTGGGTATGTTTGTATTTTTTGGTAGTTTTGGATTCAAATGATACGTTTCAAGTGGTTTAAATGAATTTGTAGGTAGTCATGTTGCATTGGACTGTTTCTACATAATATATTTTCTGCTCATGTTCAGAAGAAAATATTGTATTTTATCTTGCTAGTTCAATCGTTTCTCTTATTATCGAAAACCAAAATGTTCAGTTTTCATTCTTTTGTAACACTTTGATTTTCTCTTTTATCATATAAGTTGTTTGCTACTGTATATCAGCTTCTCACTTTGCCCTATTTCCCCACAACACAGAGCTTTTGTTGCCCCCGCTGACATTCAGGCATTCACCAGTGAGTCGAAGAGTAAATTGTTAGCTCGGTGTCAAGGTAAAACAGTTAAGTACTTTGCTCAAGCAGTGAAGGAAATTTGTGGTGCATTTGAAGAGTTAGGGAAGGAAAAATCAAGTGAATTGAGATCTGAGGCCGCCTCTGTGGATGGGGCAGATGCTGACTTGAAGGATGGGGCAGGTTCTGCCATACCTAATGGAGAATCAAAAAAGGAAGAAATAGGTGATTTTGGTTCTAAGTTGGAGCCCTGCTCAAATAGTCGAGGAGAAACTGACAGTGAGGATATAAAGCCTTCAATTTCATGTAATCCAGCAGATGACATTTCATCTCCGGTTATGTCATCTGAGAAAAAGATGAAAATATCTAATGGGCCGCAATCAAAAGATGAATTATCCACATCTGCTTCAGATAGTGTTTCTAATGTAAAGGAGGAAATTTCTGGTGATAAAAAAGAAGATATTGACCGGGTTAAGCACCCTGTTAAAGGACAGAAGGTATTTGCAAATGGTCACAAGTTGAAGAAAATGGCTTCTGGGTCAAAGAAGAGATGTGAGGTTGTAGTTGAAGGACAAAGAGGTAGCTCTGCTGTAACATCACTGAAGGATGATTGTTCTGGTAATAGTGTTGATCTCCCTCATTCTGGTGAGCAATTTAAAGACACAATAAAAATGAAAATTGCATCTGATAGTAGCATGATGGAATATTCTTCTGTTGCTTTGAAGTCAGATATGGATGTTGGTGGTGGAAAAATAACTAAAGATGTGCTTAAATCAAAAAGAAGCTTGAAAGTATCAGATGATGACACTGTTGCTAATTCCAAGGATGAGGCTTGTGGAAATAAAAAATGTTCCCAACCTGGGACAGCTGGGAAGGTTAAGTTGGGAACAAATGACATTTTACATCCTGCCAAAAAGTCTAAGGCTGTAGATTTGAAAGATGATGCTGTCAAGGCATCTCTTTCTAAAAGTGTGAAGAGTGGTTTTTCAAGTTCTAATGCTGATGACAACAAAGCATTTAAACATTCTGACTTAAAACGGTCCTCATCCCATGTGAAGACTGAAATGGTTTTGGCGTTGCAAGCTCAAACATGTAAAAGTAAAGTTGAATCTGATGTTTCTGGTGATGAAGCTGTGCTGCCTTTAACAAAGCGCCGTAGGCGGGCTTTGGAGGCTATGTCTGATTCTGCTACTCTCAATTCTGATGATAAAATGGGGAAAAATTCTCATGAAATGAAGAATGATGTGTCATGTTTTAACAATGTTAAACCTCCAGTGCCACAGTCACTCAAAAGACGGAGAGCTGTTTGCCTGTTTGATGAGGATGATGATGAAGAACCCAAAACTCCAGTTCATGGAGGATCTGCCAGAAATGTGAAAACTCCTTCATCTGTTTCTGATAATTCTAAAAGTTCTGCACATCATGAGATTAATGTTAATGCTCAGCAGAATGCTAGTGCTAAAGATTCTGTTGGAATTGAGAATATGCCAAAGGAATCCTTATTGCAAATACATAATGAGTCTGTGTCACCTTCCCAACCAGAAAAATCAGAAAGGATGCCTGATTCTCATGTTGCACACAGTCCTGGGATAGCAGAATCTGAGCAATTACCATTGAAGGAGGCTAAAGCAATATTGGTTTCCCCTAAAAGGTCTCCTCACTTGGTTTCCACTACCAGGACAACTGCAGAACAGCATAAAGCCTCAAAACCTGCGGTCACTAAAAGTTCTGGTCCTAGTACTCAGAAAAAAGTTCAGGCAATGTCTGGTAAGGGTTTGGTTCTTGCTTCTGATAGCATAAACTCTCTTCAAAATCAAGTTGCTAGTCAAAGAAATAGGGCAGCCTCTTCTGGAGATCGACCAAAAACCACTCCAAAAGCAGCTTCACGTATGAATGACCGTGCTCTTTTGACAGAAACTGTAATAGATCACAGTTCCCTGCCCATCGAAATGTATGCATGATCTAACTCTCTGTCGTGTCAATCTTTGTATTTTAGTGTCTTTATGTTTATAAGTTCTGTTCTTATATATATTTTATCATAATCACAGAATGGAGTCTAGTAGAGAAGATAGAAGCAGTTCATTCTTTGATTCCAAGACTCCAGACTCTGTTATGTCCATGAAACATCTTATTGCAGCTGCTCAGGCAAAAAGGAAACAAGCTCACTTGCAACAGTTTTCGTTTGGAAATCCTAATGCTGCCTTTACTTCAGTTGCTGAGGTCCAGGGGAGGAGCCCTAGCCCCTCTTCTGTTCAGCCTTTTTTGTCTGGCACCAACAATGTGGTACAGGCAGATATACAGGGATTTAATAATCGCACCAGTTTAGCTTCTCCATCAACTCATGGTCATCTGTCAGCGACCCGTAGTCAACTAGATTCTGAAGAAATCGAGGAAAGAAGAGTTAGTTCAGGTCACAGAGCTGGTGGAGGCTCATTGAGTGGTGGTACTGAGGCAGCTGTTGCTCGTGATGCATTTGAAGGAATGATAGAAACTTTGTCAAGGACTAAAGAAAGTATTGGACGTGCAACTCGTCTTGCCATTGATTGTGCCAAGTATGGTATTGCTAATGAGGTAAGCTAAATAACTAAATAAGCTGTTGACAAGGTTACTTCGTTGTCAGAAATGAGATATTTCTTGTGATCTATGGGATTATGAGTCGTCTTGCACTCTGAAGGCGATTTTTCAATTACATGATTTTGTGTAGGTTGTGGAACTTCTTATCCGGAAGTTGGAAAGCGAGCCTAGTTATCATCGTAAAGTGGACTTATTCTTTCTTGTGGACTCAATCACTCAGTGTTCACATAATCAAAAAGGTATCTCTCTCTCTCTCTCTCTCTCTCCCCCCCACTCTTTTCGTGCGTGCGTGAACTAAATGTATAACTGCACTAAGAGATATTTTTTTCATGTAAATAATTATTGCCTACTCTACATATATTAATTGAATTTCATATTGACCCCAGTTCAGAATTTCAGTGTCACAGAATGTTATATTATGGTTATTTCTCAAATTTATGAATTTTATTTACTTAATAGAAAGAAATATTCATTATTTTGATTGAATGAATGAATAGGCATCCTTTTATTGACCTATTTAGAGGTTTGTGATGTAATCCATGTGTAGGCATTGCTGGAGCTTCATATATTCCTGTCGTTCAATCTGCATTGCCACGACTTCTTGGTGGTGCTGCTCCACCTGGAAATGGGGCTCGTGAAAATCGTCGTCAATGTCTCAAGGTAATATCAACTCTTATAAATTTATGATAGTTGGAAATCCTCCATCTAAGCTTAAGATAGATTTATCTTTTACCTTTCATCAGGTTTTACGCTTGTGGCTTGAGAGAAAAATTTTGCCTGAATCTCTTTTGCGGAAATGCATGGATGACATTGGAGTTTCAAATGATGAGTCAACTTCTGGGTTTTCCCTTAGGCGACCATCTCGAGCTGAGCGTGCTATAGATGATCCGATAAGAGAAATGGAAGGCATGCTTGTTGATGAGTATGGCAGGTGTGAACCTTTTTATCTCTTTTCTTTTCTATTTTTACTTTATGATACATTTACATTTGAAATTGAAACAATGCATGTTTCAACACTTATTTGTTTCTCAGTTTGTAATGTTTCTGAATGGATCTAACTTTCAAATATGTTTGCTTTCATGTGTGCATTTTATCAGTAATGCTACATTTCAGTTGCCTGGCTTTCTATCTTCCCATGTGTTTGAGGATGATGAAGAAGATGATCTTCCAAGCAGTACATATAAAGAAGTTGGTGATACATCGCCAATAGAGCAAACACGTGCTTCAGGAGAGTCAGAAACATGCACTGTTACTCCCAATGATAGGCGTCATTGTATCTTGGAGGATGTGGAAGGGGAGCTTGAAATGGAAGATGTTTCTGGTCATCCAAAGGATGGAAATGATTCTTTTGAAATAGAATCACAACATGGCTCGGATAGGATCTTGGAGTCGGTTTCAAATAATTTCAGTGAGTTACCCCCTTTACCTGAGGGTTCTCCTCCATTGCCTCCAGATTCTCCTCCTCCACTCCCGCCCTTGCCTCCATCACCACCACCACCACCTCCTCCAATGTCTTCTCCTTCACCTCCACCGCCACCACCTCCTCTTCCATCACAGCCACCACCACCACCTCCTCCTCCTTTGGGGCCGCCACCATCTATGGTACCACAATCATCAATGGTACAATCACAACCTTCATTAGTGTCTCAACCGTTACTGCCACCTCAGTCATCAGTTCAGTCTTCACCTCAGTTGGCATATCAACCACCTGTTCCTCGAGAATATTGCAACACACCCAGTGTAAGACTTGCAGCTCTTTTCTTTTTTCTTTTTAGTTTTTACTTATGGATGTATAGGTATGTCATTGTAGCTATTCATTTTGTTTGCAGGGTAATCAAATTGTCCAAATGTCTGGAAATACTCCTCATGGTGGTCATATTGATGCTCCTGTGAAAAATGAATTATTTACACAGCAATCACCTTGCTTTGTACCAACAGGAATGTGCAGTTCTCGAGAACCTTCTGGATATAATTCTTCAAGGCAGTTGGAATATGGTCATAATGATATATATTTAAATCCCCAAGCTTCTCAACCAAACCAGCAATTTCAGCAAGGTAATGCACCATTTGTGCAAAGACCTCTACATCCTGCCCTGCCTCAAACCCCTTCCAATCATTTCTCATTTACAAAGCCAGGGATTCAGCAACATCCTCATCAGCATTACCCCCGCCCATATGCAATGCCATCACACCCTGATAACCAAAGGCGATACGTTGGTGATGAACAGTGGAGGATGCCATCAGGTGAATTTAATACAGAGAGTCAGCATGGTGTGTGGATGGGTGGGAGGAGAACTCCCCCTCAATCAGGACCAACATTTGTCCAAGAAGGTGAGCTGCTGATATTTTTCCTAATTTGTAATATTGGGTTTTCAATGCTGAGATTTGCTAAAACATATTAAATTGTAATGCACTTGATAGAAACCAGTGGCTCTGTGGGGGCCAAACTTCATTTATTTTTCTTCTTCTTCAGTAGAGACTATTTGCCTATAGTTTAGCTCATTGAATGACATTGACTTGTATCATTATTTGATCATTGGTTCTAAGTTACCTGTTGTTATATGGCCTTGAATTGTTGTCATGGACAGAACTTCTATTGTTGGCTTAAGTTTTTGGTTTTGCTCTTGCACTTGTAGTTCTTCTGTGAACAGCTGGTTGATCTGATCTATTGGAGAGCCTTTGAGACATTAAAAAATTTAGTTGCTGGAATTGATTAGAAATCATGTTCATGAATTACAAAACCATTTGCACAAGTTGTGTTTCAAAGTTTTAGCTTTTCTTAAAGCTTGGAGTATAATATGAGCTTGGAATCTAACATTTCAGAGGTGGTCAAAAAGGTTCCTGAAACAATGTGAAATATGCTTTCTCTAGTTGGTTTTCTGGGAATATGTGTATCAGTTTGTCTTGTTCACTTCCGTGCTTGTGTCCATGAATAGGTTCTGTTACGAGCTTTTTATTTTTTATTTATTTTTATCCACAATTTTCATCGTTTTCATGGGCAATTTTTATTAATCTTATACTTCTAATATATGATTTTAGTTAGTACCCTGAAGTGTTAAATTTTTTTTTTTGGTTACAGGTTACTTTCGGCCACCTGTTGAAAGACCACCCACAAATAATATGGGTTTTCAGCTATCTGCCACGAACAATTTACCAGCTGCACCTCCAATACCAGGTGACCTCACCTAAAGGAAAGCTAAATTGTTTTCGTCAAAAGTGATCTAATAAAATTTGAGCAATTGGGCTCCCGCTATACTACCAAATGACTTTTTGGTTGTATTACCCCAGGTCACAGTGTTTCCCAGATGTTGCCATGTAGGCCAGACATGTCAGCGCTTAATTGCTGGAGACCAGCTTAGGAATGAACCTAAACCCTTCTTAAGTGCTTAAGGTGAGTTCTCATCTCCATACAGCTAATTTTGATTGTGCCAGAATATTTGAATTTCAAGATTGAAGTGAAAGTTTACACAATGTAATATTGGGATTACTCAGTATAATACTCTCTCTTCTTCACCCCTCTCCTGATCAAATATTATTTTCTGTTCCAATTTTCAGTGTGTGGATTGTGAGACAAGTTACAAACTTACATTATATTCTTCTCAAAAGGGGGGTTCATCTTGTGAACAAAACCATTTACAGCTTGAAGGCAGTGTTAGAGCTTATGGAGACTCTTGGCAGGACTGTGTATATGTAATTTTTCCTGACAAATGTATCCAGGGAACATATGCTTCCAAGTGTAGGCTCATGTTTCTGACTTGGTTAGTACACCTGTTTCTTATCTCTTGTAATTATACTGAATACCCTACATAAAGAAATTTGTTTCTCAAGTGACATTTTTGAGTTTTGATGAATTGGTGATACATTCATTAGTCTCTAATTAATCTATTTATCTCTTGCTTAGTTCATTTCTTGCAATATGCGTACTTAGCATGTTCTAGTGATAGAATGAGTGCAAGCTCATTCCAGTCTTTTCTACTTCCCTTTAGAATGCAGAAGCCTAGAGAGCATTGTATGCACAGATTATGATCATTAATGTTTTTTAGATGATAATTTCTCGTCCGTTAATTATTAGAGTCTGTGGCATTACTCAGTTTTGTGTATATTAATGTTGTCCAACTCTTGCATATAGCTTTAAGGAAGAGTCTGGTATGCCCAATCGACACAACAATGTTTTAGTCTCCAAAATGTAAACTATAATTGGAAATTAGCTCTGGAATTTGGTGTTGAAGGATTAGGTGGATTAGTGTTTGAGGTGGATTTTTCGAATGAAATTAGAGCTATTTTATCAGTTTATGTGACCGGTTTAAGGTCTGATTGGTATTACACAAGATTACGTTTCAAATCACTGCCATTAATTAAACCAATTGTCTTAGGTGAACTGGCTTCTTTAGTGAATAACTGATCAACTAGTGTGTTTCTTTTTTTTCCTTTACTAATACAAATACAATCTTTTAGTGACTCCTATGGAAAAAATAAACCAATCAAAGAATTTTAGAAGGAAAAAATTACCCACAATTTTTACTACTATGGACTTTAAAAATAGTTTATATAGAGGTTGTATGTGATTTTTCACAATTTTCTCTAAGAGAGCTGTGTTCTCCCATTTATAGGCAATGCACTTCCTATTTACAGAGCCATTGAAATATAAAATATCAATTCAATGGAGAACTTCATCATCAAAACAGTAGCAGGTCATAGCACTTCTCTTGTGATTAGTCATATGGGTGTAAAAGAAGATATCCATACTGCACTAGAGTAACCTCCCTCCTTTTAGACATCTAAAATTAATAAATAAATAAAATGACCCAAATAATGAAACTAAAAATTGAAGACTTGAAAGAATGATTACCAAGGTTGCTTATTCCTTAACCTGTAGGCAATGCATAGTTTTGGTGTCAAGGCGGTTAATTTCCCACTGGGGTATGGTTGTGGTATTCCCATTACTGCATCCGAGTATTCTCCCCCTCGGTTAAAGTACAGAAAAGTTTAGAGGTGTTATCTTTTCTCAGTTTGAACAGATAAAAATAACTGTTTGATCGGGTGGTTTATGTCGTGCTTGTTGATTGGGAATTGGCTTGACAGATGTGATGTTTCTGTGAGTGTGACACTGTTTTAGCCCTACTCTGACTTACTATCCCATTGTTAGTAGGTCAGCTCTAGATTTTCTGTCAGCTTATGTTGATGGAGGCAATGGGAAAGAGTGACAATAGATGTAGTGCCGCTTGGTTCGTAGTTCTTCCAGGTTTCTTAGACCTAGAAATACTTTAATTATCTGGTCTTTTTCACTCTTTATCTTCTTTTTCCTTTGAATTTTAATTAAACCTGAGTCATATCATGCTACTATAAGTTTGGACTTGTGAAGATAAGAATATGATATGTAATTTAATTTTGCACCATTTGTACCCTCTTTGTAGGGAGTTGTTCTGCTCGAAGTAGATTGGGTCTAAACACTTTCGTATATGTGACTTGGTTGGTTGCCCTGAAGATCAGTACCTTGGACATGTTATGAATTGGGAATTGCACCAAGGAATTCAATTCAGTAGTGTTATTGGTACAAAGAAATTGAAGATACTACCTAATGCATTGTTTTTGGCTGCTAGCTTCAGCATTTTGTAACAGTTACTTATAATTGGATGTTAGAATAATGTGGGGGCTTCTTTACCCAGTTGCAATTTGTGATCTGTTCTCTTCTATAATTGGCATTGGGTGTGAAGTGGTGATCATGGGTTCCTTTTGAGTTCAGGTAGATGATAGTTGTGCTTTACTGCATGTAGGTAGGCAAAACTGATGGTTTTATCCTTGGTTTGTTAAAATTGGCGTTGTTTAGAATGTGAAAATATTATGCCATGTCATCTCTTCCTGTTTTCTGAGGCATAACGTTATGGCTGCATCTAACTCATTTTTAAATTTTAATTAATATAATTTTGGTTTTGCAACATGAATCCTTTTCTAGTTCTTGTGCTTGCCATCAAGAATTCAGTGTTTTCCTCTTTTTAAAACTTGTCTTAGTTGCATATTCATAGGATGAAGGAGATTTGTATTTGTCTTTCTCTCCACTGATTATTCTTTTTCATGTTTGTGCTCGCTATGTCCTATGCTTATGTTGAATTGAACTGGGGCAGTGACCTTCATGGTTACTTGCCACCATTGAAATTAGATATTGTTGTCAGTTTTTCCGTCCTTGGAATCTTCTTTTCTTTGTTGTAGTCTGACTTAGTTTCGTTATCTAATTGCAAATTTCTCTTCAAGTTTGTTGTTGCATCTAGATTTATATGTACTTGTATAATTCATTCGGTAATGTATGTTGTGCTTTCTGATCTTGTCTATGAAAGAACTTATGATAGGTACTCTGTACAAGAATGAACTTACAATTAAAGTTTTTAATATCTGAAGTATTCATCTATCATACATCTGAATGGGTGTCAGTTTCTCATGCGCATAACCTGAACGGTGTTAATAGCTTTCCTTCTTATTCAGTAATTTCTGCTTTGTATAGAAGTTCATTCCAGTTTTATTCTATTGAGGAATTTTATTAGTGACAACCTTTTTACTGGGAAATATGTTGTTAAAAATTGAGAAAAAAGGGTTTAATGTACATGTGATGTTTTGAGCATAAATCTGCCTTGCATATTCTGGGCTTAAGAATTGGGCCATCAGGATTTAGGTCATTTGGCCAAGGTTTTTGACCTGGATCAGCTGCATTTTAAATCCCACTGATGTACATGTTCTAATACTGTAGAGCTACCACTATGGTCTATTTCTTTCTTGTCAAACTCATCAAATCCTTTTGTTGGGATGTGTCAAATTGCATTTCGTCAGCCAGCGGATAGTGCTTTACGTTTCTTTTTAGTAAATGGATAATTGAGATTGCCAAGGAAACTGTGGCATCACAAATCTCTATCAAAGTTGATTTGTTTGATGCCTAATATGTACGTGTTACCATCACGTTTTTACAACTTCACAATTTTATGTTCTTTGTCAAGGCTCTTGCAGCGAAATAATTTTATGTTAATAATTAGGGAATTAGCGGGACATTGTTGATAAGCAGCATTGACGCCATTTATGGGGGAGTTGTGTTCAAAGTTGCATACCACTATGTAGTTTGTAAGTTCTTTGTGGAATAATTGGATTGTGGATTGCCAACAAGGTTATAAAAAGCTTGTAAACTTGGTCTTCATAAAAATGGAATTATGGCATACTAATCCGTATATATATATATATATAACCATGGCATTAGGTAGGGGTGGGTTAGGTTTAATGTTCAAACCTTTTGCGGTTAGCGAAATTGCTATCTTTATTCTTATGGAGGTAGGGAACTGGAAATAGAATTGACATTAGATATTCATTGGGTTGCACTGTATGACTTGCTGGTTGGAATTGAGGGGATCTACTGTCAAACAATTGACTGCAGATTTTTTTTATTTTTATTTATTGTCATTTGTGAGAAAGTTAGAAATTTTTAATTTCCATATTCTTTTAATGGAATCTATATTTGGATGGCAACATTGTTGAGACCCAGAAATGTTATTTGTAGAGAAATTGCTCATTGTTTTAGATTTAAATAGAAGAGGCTACCATTGAACTTGAATGTTAACCTTGAGGTTCTTTGTATATGCACAAATCATGTTCAAGAACTCCTTTTTCCACTAGATTATTAACACCCAAGCAGCACAGTACTGTTCAATGTACACAATTCACCTTAAAGTGAGATTTTACTTTAATAGATTTCTTTTTAGTCATCAAGTAAATTTCTTGAAGCTTCCCAAGCATTGGAGTATGCATGAGTCTTTTTTCCAAAAATTAGTGAGTGCTTTCAAGACCTATTGAATCCTATCTTTTCTTTTTGTCAGTTAAAAACTTATTTCTCTGGTAGTGGGAATTGCATGTAGTTTGCTTTATTGAGAGTGGTGTCTGTGTATGTGTTCAGTGACATGAAGGAACTAAGCTTTAAGTTATTTAGGGTGGATTTGTGTGCTCTTTTTTTTTCTTTTTCTAATCATACTTGGTGTCAATGTTGAAGTAAAAAGCTTGACTTGTAAAGCTATTTCCTTTTAGGACTGCACTAAGTTTTTCATGTTAGGATCTTAGGATAATCTAAGATGTGAAGAAGGGAGGCTTGGTTTCTAGTCCACCTACTGTTGATAGAATTGTCATTGTTAATGTCTTCTGCACTCATTTCTTATTAGAAGAATGATTTTTGTGTTTTACTTGTTAGTTCCATTGGAAAAATAGCATATTACTGTTCTCTCATTTGTTTTTTAATGTATTTCTTTTTTCCTTGTGTTTCTTTCCTGTTCCTAAACGCTCAGCAGCTGTCAAGCAAAGCATGATCAGAATTTCTTCACATTCAATCTTTGTCCCCTTTATTACTTTTTTATTTCTTTTGGTCCTTATTAGGTGTTGCACTTTGGGATAGTAGAGATCACAGCCTCTGAAATGGCTCTAATTGCCAAATCGTGGCTCCCATCCTAAAGTTTTGTTTATTTTAGCAGAAACATAAAGGATAAATATATTGTAAACAGAGATATGGTTTTAATTCTGCAGATTGAGTTCACTCGAATGCCATCTAGAGAAATCATTAAGGATGAAAAATGTTCATCTATTTGTATTAAATTCTGGGGTGTCCCATGTTCAGCTGGCCTTATGAGAGAAGGATGAAGATTTTTAGGTATTAGCAGTAATATAGTTGTATGCAGAAGAAAAAAAATGGTTGCATTCAGAATCTGAAAGATGTTTTTGTACAAGTGAAAAGATAAGTAAATAGCATAGGCAGTTAAGTAGGGTGGAGAAAGCAAAAGAAAAAGAAAGCATGAAGCTGGAGCATAAAGAAGAGAAAAGAGAAAGAAATGTGTCAGAGAGTGAACTTTATGTTGTGAAACATAGGAGAAGAAAATGTTGTTGAGGCTTTTATATGATCTATGGCCAATGCACCCTAAGTAACAGTTGAAATTTTTCTAGTGCTTTTGTAATGAGGTACATAAAGATAAAAGACAACTTCTGCCGGATGTGATGGGAGCGATTTAGATACTTCAGGTTATATTTAATGTGTTTGTGTTTATAAAATTGGGAATCTATCTTGGAATAGTCTTTGATGATTATTATATATAATTTCTCTTGTGTATTGAAATATAATGTTGAGCTCAAATTTATAAGGATAATTCTGTTTCTACTATACTAGGAGGTATCTGTATTGAGTCAGATTTGAAGTTTCTTTCCTAATTTAGGTTTTAGAAGACCTATTTCCTTTGGGTTTATTTTGGTAAAGTACGTTATGAACTTCTTTCTATATTTCAACGCTAATTGAATCCAATGACCACCAGAAAGCGCTAATTATTTTTAGAGGGCTAAGGTTTTTTTTTTTTTTTTTTTTTTTTTTCTATATTAATACTGTGGAGAACTGGTGAAATGTTAGGAAAATATTGTGATAAGGTGAGTGAAGTAAGCAGTGTCTTATGTAATTTAATTTCTCTAGTCTTTGTTTACCGAGTAGTGAGAAATTTGCATGATAAATACTGAAGAAAACTTACTTTGTTTGTTTTGAAGTGTGTATACATTCATAGTGGTCAGTGATCTACTTTAATGCATTATAATAAAGTATATAGAAATCCTAACATTTAAGTTCAAAGGATGGATTCTGCATTCTAGGCTGTATTTGACAGGGTATTGCCACTCATAGTAGGAATGTAAAATTCTGACTGAATTCATGCATCTTCAAAGCTGATCATTGTTAGCATGATAATGAGCTGAAGTAAAGTAAGTGATCCATTTGTTGTCTTCTACTATTCAAATATTTCTTCTTTCTCTCTCTTGTTTAAGAGTTGAGTGTTTTCTCGGTTGAATCAAGAGACATCTGTTGACCTGAATAAGTTGAACTGATAGGAAGAAGAGGTTCTTTCTTTTTTCTGTTGACTTTTTTCCTCCTTGTAAATCAGTTTTGCGGCAAGGTTGATTTATTTTCAAGTTTCTTGAAGCATATTATGAGACCAGGAAATTAAAATTTTTACTCTTACACTAATATTGCTGATTCATCTCTTCTATTTCGTAATTGAACTTTCAGTTCTAGAACAGTGAGGTAACTGAACATGATATTGTTACAGGTTTGGGCATATCACAAAAGCTGACGTTTCTTAATTCATTGTGTTTTTATCTGGTTTTCCATTGAAGAATAAAGTCTGGATTTCCTGGAAGACAAACTACATCGATATCTGGAGGTAAATCTTTGACATGGACTTTATGCTGAGGCAATGATCTTTTTACAAATGTCATTTTAAAATAGATATAGTTTTATCAAAAATATGTCTCTAAAGTAATCCTTCCAAAATAATATAGATGTGGTTTTCATATCTGAGAATAACAATTTTTTTTTTTTTTTTTTTTAATTTGTAAGAAATAACTTTATGCGGTTTGGAAAATCCATCTTTCCATATTTTTTCACTGGAAAAGCTTTAATTTCACATATTTATATATTTATTGAGGGTTGGTATAATGCTCTGATAAGCTTTAGTACCATCTTCAATTTAATTTGAGTTGCGCATGGATTATAATTTTTGTTTTCAGTTTAAATTGTTTGAATGGAGTTCAAAATGTATGATTATTATGTCTCTTGAATCCATTACTTTGGAATACACTCTTATTCATGAATGTTGTCATCCTCTCGGAAATTTAGTCCATGGAAACTGTTGGTTATCACCTATTAAAAGAAGAAAAAGAATTTATATGCTGCATGAGATGATTATAATATCTGTTATTAACTTGGCAGTCAGCACTTTATCTCCATGTGAATGATGAAGGAAGTTTGAATTTGAAGATCTGGTTTATATCTCATCGCAAAGTCGTTATTGCAGAACTCAGAATTCTGGAGCTGGTCGGTGCACAATTTATTAATACAGAACTGCAGTAAAAATGCTGTTTTAGATAGAGTTAAACAAAGTATTACAGCTCAAACTTCAAGCACCAAAATCCTCTACTTTAGTTTGTCAACAGCAATTGTATCAGAAATTATGGATACAAATCTGATCACATAGCATTAGCAGGTATGGATTCTGTCTCTATGACCTATTGGACTCTCAAATGTCTCGGCCAGTGGAAAGGCTTCAAGTGACACATTTGGGGAGGATAATACCAGTACCAGTTACCACTTTCAGTTCCATATATTATTATGAAGAGAAAAGTAACGAATTATAATGTGAAACAAACAGTAAATTCACTAAATTGTATATGTAAATTTTTTTTTATATATAACCAGGTAATCTATTAGACTTTCTGTTCTCTTGTCTACTCTTTCTCTATTTTACTATACCAGCTAAAAATATTGTGAATTAGAGGCCTGACAAAATGAGGATCAACATTAACAATTGAATTTTTGAAAATTAATCGAGTGCAGTTTTGTTTCTTCGACCACTTATAGGGTTTGGCAATCCATCCAAAATTGGTTTTGCGATGGCCACAGTTGAAAGAGCCTGTAGATCCCATTTTGAAGTAGGCCAGATGGATGTTTGATCCTGTAAATTTGATGTACTTGATGACTTCCTTACTCCAGAAAGTTGGTCACCCGGAAGACAATCTCCCAATGTAAAAGGTACAGGACTCAACCCAGTTTTCGCAGCCTCTGCTACCAATGCAGCTCGGTTCACGGATTTGGGTCTTGGGGCTAAACTCTTTCCTGTAATCGCTGGAATCCCATCTGCGCTACTGTCTTCCTCCTTCAACACCATTTCCGGGGTGTGAGAAGCGAAGTTGACTTCAGATTTTTGACGCCTCCTTACCAGTTTCTTAATCCTTTTATCAGGTTCACTTTTTCTAACATCTGCAACATTAATGTAATCATCCGTTTCATCAGGGTCAGCTAGATTTACATAGCTTTTAGATCTTCTATTATTGTCCAATGGTGAATTAGAAGTTGGGAAGGATTTGAGTAAATGACAATCCTCAAAATTTCGAGCTTCTCCATTCTTGTAAACCATCATCTCAAAACCTTCTGATATGGGTCTTTGAACTGTCGGTTTAAGTCCATAGTAACCTTGTAAAGAGCTCATGGCTGGCGTGACCTTTCTTTCGGGAGACAACTTCAGTCTAAGTGACTGGAATGAATCAAATGGATCTAGCTGTGCTTGCTGTTGTGAGGTCTGGCCACAAGAGATTCGCCTGCAAAAAATTTCATTTGTAAATCATACTATGAGAAATGTAATTGGAAACACAAACAAGATACTTATCTCAAATGTTGAAGGTATAATTTAAGGATAGTGTTCGAAGCATAGACATTCAATTTCCTAATATTTTTGTGCAATCACAAAAGAATTGTCCAGAAAGTACATTTCGTAATCCCCATCTTTCCACAAATGTGATTCAGTATCAGCTTCACATAACAGTTCCCACAACCCCATTTGTAATCAGCCTCCATACTGCCTCTATAAAATACAACATGCGCCTGTCCTCTAACATTATCCACATCAATTTGATTCTCCTGCCACCATCATCTTCAGTTTTTACAACATCAGAAAAAGGCAACAGCAGTCTTCTGCTACAGTCCCCGCCCTTCATACACACATCTCTTCAACATTTGAATTCTAATTCAAATCTAAAACCATAAAGATAGTGTACATTCATTTGTATGGCATACACAAATTAATAACTTCTCCGAATGTACTCCACATAAATTAAAAGTACAGGGTAACATGACAATAGTCATAAGATGATTCTTAAAATCACAAGAATACCAACTATAGGTAGTGTTGATTACTAAGAAACACAAGACATGGGATGCCATGATTATCGCTTTTTTTTTTTTTTAAGCTTAAATATACTCAATCCCATTCATTTGCATAAAGTTTGAATGCCTAAAGGTTAAAGCCTTATAAAGAAAAGGGAGGGAGGACCAAATAATATAATAGTACATATACACGCTAAGAATATCCACCTAATACGATCCAGAAAGTATCAATATCATCAGATTATTATTATTATTTAAAAAAAAAAAAAAAAACAAATTGACTGTATTGTAAAGAATTGAGAGTAAAAGAAGCAAACACATACCGTGGATTTTCACGGCCGTTTGACAAAGAAGATGAAGGAGGATGCTTCCCGGGCAATGGAATCTGAAGGGAGTTGAGACCAAACATTTGAAGATCCGTAGACAACCCATTTATCTTCTTAATATCCGCTACCTAAAACCATTCACAAACAAGATATAAAAAAGCTGTACAAGATATAAATGGCAATGCCAGTACACATACATAAAACAGAAAAAAACTTGCAAGTTCATCCAATAACTGGCTCAATCAAAATCAAACCCATGTACAGAAAAATGAACATCAATCAATTTCCAAGCTGTTTGATTTTGATTGTGAAGGCATAAAAATGAAATTACCTCAACTCCGTATTTGATGGCGATGCCAACAAGCGTATCGAACTTTGAAACAGGGTGGTGAATATAATTCTTGTCTTGATAATCACAAATATACCCATTACAATTCTTATTCCACCTCTCCATTCAATCAAACAATAATCCAATATTGATTCATCAATGAAAGAAACATAAAGAATGTGAATAAGAAAGAAGAAAAAAGGGTTGGATCTAAGAGTTGGGAGATGGCGATGATGTTGTGACCGGGTGTTACTTGCAGTTTTTTGCGGGTTTTGAAATGAAAATGGGTGCTGTCGAGAGACTGCCTGCGTTATAAAAAGTAAAAAAACTCATTGAAATTAAATAATAAATATGGATGATTTTAATACCTAAGAAAGCCAAGCAAAAAGCGTGTAAATAGTACGTGTCTCTGTCTGGGAGTTGTTGATGTGTTGGCAATGGCACCGCAATTCAACAACTGGGTCAACCCTACCATTTCATCTTCCCATAGTACCGTGTTTATATTTTATAATCCTTTCATTTCAATTTACAATTTTCTCCTCTTTTAGGATCGGAAATAACAATTTCCCTTTTACCATCAATCTTTTGTCAGGGTTCTTTTTGATTAACTTAACATGTAATAATAACAATATGAATAAATGATGATCCCATGATTTTTATTTGAGAAATCGAGTTAGACTTAGTTTGAAGTTTTCATTGAATTTTAATACTAGGTAATCTTCACCCATCAACACTCCTCCCCTGCCAATCACTAACTAAAACATAGCAAAAAATCAGTCACTCCCTCTAGGCCTCTTCGCTAAGCAACAACTAGGGAGACCCCACTTCTACATAAATCCTTGGACCCCAACATTATCCTTAAATCTAAGGCTAAGCAATCTGAGCCTCACCACCCCAATAATATGATGTTCAATTCCACTGGTGGTTCTGAAACATGCCTTTGAATAACGGTAGGTTTCTTTCCTGCCAAATCCAATACACAACCGTCACGAAAAGGAGTCGATGGATGACTGTCCTGATGCTTTTACCCTTAAATTTACCTGCACACCATATAACGGTATCAATAATGCTACGAACACCGAGACTATATACCGAATTCTTTCACCGAATTACGTGTCCCGTGACTCAGACCAGCCACGTATTTCATTACCAAATATTTTGCGAGTGAACGGTTGTTCATCAACTATGGACGATTGTTTACTTACGATAGACTCCTGTCCATATTATATGGACGGGAGTCCAGTTACTATGGACGGGAGTCTACATAATATGGACGCCCGTTCATCAGTAAATGAAAAAAACACATTAACAAAAATAATGGACAGGCGTCCACATACAATGGACACCCGTCCATAACCTATGAACGGTCATCCATTATATGTGGACGTCCGTCCATAACCTATGAACGGTCATCCATTATTTTTGGATGGGCGTCCACATATAACGGACGCCCGTCCATACTGTAAATAAAAAAAAAAAAAAATTAGGTCAAAACACAAATTTGGGGGAATTTTAAAATTAAAACACAGAAGCAGAAGTCGCTTCTTCTTCGCCTTCATTCCCCATCTCTGCTCTTCTTCTTCGTCTTTATTCCTCATCTGCACTCTTCTTCTTCTTCGAGGTTCTTATCTGTCGCGCTCTTCTTCTTCATCGAAGTTCCTCATTTGCTGTGATTCTTCTTCAAGTTCCTCATCTGCCATTATTATTGTAAGGTAATTAGTCACTTCGGTTTCTCATTTTTTTTTTTTTATTTTTTTTTTTTTTTATGTTGGATGAATGAAAAGATTTTGTTGGTTGGTTATGAGAGTGACTTTTTGTAGTACGTTTATACTGAAGTGTGTTGGATATGAAATTTGTGTTGAATGGAGCTGGGGTCGAATATTATTTGTGTTGTGATTTCTTGAATTGAGTTGATAAAAAGAAATCTAGTCAATTTGGTGGGACTGGTTTGTCTGATTGATAAATAGAAGTGTTTTGGTTAACTTGAGGTGTGAAATGGTTTGTGTGGAATGTTCACAATTTTTGCAATTGTGAAACTTGTGTTAATTACTTTTTGCTATGTTTTAGATTTTAACTGGCAAGTCGAGCACAATCCATTCTCTAACCTAGAAACTTTCCTTAAAAGTTGCTACTTCCGTCAGACATGCCAATAAAATTGAACTTTAGGTTTCCTTCCTATGGGCAGTTTATAATTCCAGCATAAGAGATTCCCTTTTTAATTAAGTATTCAAATAAACCTCTATCAACCTTATCCAAGGTAAATATTACTAGGGGTGTTCACGAGCCGAGTCGAGCCGAGTTTTAGGCTTAACGAGCTCGGCTCGTGAAATAGGATTAAGAAATGAGCCGAGCTCGAGTCCAGCCGAGCCATATATTCTATGACTCAGCTTGGCTCGTAAGAGATTATAGGATATTTCGAGCCGGCTCGCGAGCCAGCTCTAGAAAATACATTTTTTTTTTTGGGTGTTTGCCCTTTTTCTTATTCTCCTTTAATTATTTTTTTCTTTCTTATAAACTGCAATTTTTTTTGTTTTTCTTTCTTCTTATTTTTTTTGTTTTGTTTAGTGTCTACCCTTTTTCTTATTTTCCTTTAAACTGTGATTTTTTCAAGTTTGTCACCGAATTTTCCTTTCCTTTTAAGTTGTGATTTAAAGAAATCTTATTGTAATTGTTTAATTCTCAAAATCTTTACTGTTTCAAATAAAAGAAGAGTAAAGAAAGAGAAAGAGGATGAGAAAGTTTCAAAAAAAAATTCCTAAGAAACAAAATACACAGATATAGAGAAAGAGAGAGAGAATGAGGGACCCAATAGCAAAGAAAGAAAAAGAGGATGAGACAGTTTAAAAAAAAAAACATTTGTAAGAAACAAAATACACAGATAGAGAAGTACTGACGGAGCCGCTTGCCATCTGTTCATTTTTATTGGGGTTTAAAATATGCAGAGAACCCAACCCCCAACATCTCAAAACCACATGAAACACTCTCACAGCCACACCAGCTGAACGAAAATCGGGAACCATCAGCAGACCAGCCAACAGAGAAGTAACACACTAGACCTCTAACACCAGCCACCTGCTAAGCACCCATCTGCTGCAAACACTCCAAGAACAAAAAGTCCAGTAGCCTTCAAGCCTTGCCTCCTTCTTCCTTGAAGAGAACCACACCACCACATGACACAACCAACAAAAAAAACATAATCCCAGAGCACTCACCAACAAAGCCGCATGTCCCACCTTCCAACCACCAACAAAAAAGAAAAAACCAAAAACAAATCACACAACCCACCCAAAAACAGTGCCATCACCAGCACCAACCACCAACAAGGTTCCCTAGTGAGAAGACAAAAGAGGGATCTCACAGAGAAGCAAAATGGCAACACACCAAACCCCAACGGCATCTTGACTTGTTTACCAAATTTGAACAACACTTTGCTTGATTTGTTTGGTTTTGACTGCTCTCCCCTTCCTCCCATCTTTATCTTGTTTTCAGTCTGATTTGGTTTGGATTTGCTGGCAAATGGGTTTTAGTCACGTTTTTAGGGATTTTAACATCGGGGTTTTTTTTTTGTTTTTTTTTCAAACTTTTTTCATTGAAAATTTTAGTTTAATCCCCATACTTTAAAAAAATCCCTAAAACCCCCCTAATAATTCGAGCCTAACTCAACTTGCGAGCCAATCGAGCCGAGCTGAGGCAGGCTCGAACTAGGCTCATTCTCTCTCACGAATCCAGTCGAGTCGGCTCGATTGCAGACGAGGCGAGCCGTACTCGAGTCGAGCGGAGCCGAGTCGGCTCCCCTCATTGAACACCCTTAAATATTACCTTCACAGTGATCACCAAAGCCAATTTCTTGGTCCTAGGCTTGCATTTCTCCAATGGAAACATGATATTCATTGCTCTCAAGAAACACAACACAAACATAAATCTGCAAACATAAATGCAGAGTTGAAAGAGCAACAAGACCATTACTGTTAACATAAGAGAAGGTTCTCTTTTGCAACTTCTGTTCTAATAACTTACTAAAAACCCAAAAACTGCTAACTAAAATGAAAAGGTTCAATTCTCATTTCCAAACACATGAATCTCGACTTTTCTCTTCTAACAACCATTACTTTCAGTTGCTATTGCACTCTATTAGCATTAGGGCATGACTCAAATACATTAACACAACCATGCATGAGGATCTTATAATTTTGCGGTGTGCATGAGAATTGGAATATTGTTGAAAATAGGCTCTCTTCAGATTTTTTTTCCCATACTATTTCATAGTCGTTTCTGTTTCTTACTTTTCTGGGTGTGCTTGCAGTTACAGAAGTCTGTTTTCAAACTCCTACTTCCCCACTTTCCCTACCTTATAATTAGATTCATGTTAAAAATAAGGCCGGTTATCCTGAGTGGGCATAAACATAGAATACCCATCAGACTCTTTTCAAGCAAAGGCCTACTGATTCATTGCTTCTGATTTGCAACTTGCCTATAAACATCTATGATCAGATGAGCAGGACCCACGAAGGACAAAGCAACCCAGCTCCAGTTCCACCACACCCACCAGCTTATTCTCATTCTTTTTCAATTGAAATATTTTATGCAACAACTTGAAAATTCATTTGTTGTGAAATACTCTTTGAATTGATTCTGGATCTAATAATGCTTGAAGTGGTTTCAGATTGAAAGTTGCGATGGACTTTAGTATTCTTTAAATTGTGTTTAACAAAGTTTACTATTAGGTTTTATATAACAATCTGTTTGGTAAACCGAGTGGAACCTAGCAAGCTATGGATTTCACTTTGCAGTATAATCTCCATACACGACTATTTGCTAAATCATATCTGACATGGACAATTGTTATGTAGTTTATTCTTCTATCAGTATTTGACTTCTATCTGTTACATGTAAGGATCCCATTAATTGGCATCTAGGCTTTCAAGTCTCATTTAAGTTTTCCATCAAGTATGTGGTCCTTAATCAATATAATCAGTTTGAATCTGTTGAAATAATCATTTTTTATGTAGAAATATTGAATTTGCTATAAATCTAAGCTGTATACCTAGTTTAAGAGTTTTGAGTTTACTATGTCAGGACTTACTTTGTAATTTACAAGCTAATATGGGTAAGTGACAATGACTCTACCACTTGGGTTGTGCAATGGGATGAGATCTCTCAGTTTTTCAGGGTCAACTCAACTCTTCCATCCCATTTGGGCTTGCGTTTTAGCATTTGAGATGCTGTTAAAAGACTGCTACATACATTGATGATTTTGTCTAATTTGATAACGGTAATATGAAATAATGTACACTGAAGGCAATTTGTCACTAGT